TTCCTTACCTATATTTATTCTTATATTTTTCGGTACAACTGACAGAGTACATTTTTCGGGCAGAAGGAATGTATCAAAAACGGTTGTCTACCTCGGCGTTCGTGTTGTGTGACCCAATGGGTCGGATAATTTATTATGTTAACAGTGAACAACGCCATCAAAATCAATGAATAGTTACAAAAACAGTTATCTTGAGGTTTTGTCGGTTGTCAATAATTAACGTAACGTTCGATCAAATACTATATGTTAACACATTACAATAACAGGAATAGGCCGGTCGGCGAAGGAAACGTCATGACCGTCGTCAACATCCTTGAACTTGATTAATACTAAAAAAAGAAAAAACAACACACTCATACTAACAGGTTAATAAGTGAAATGATTCGAATACCGAATATGGACTCTCGTATATGAATCGGTTGACACTCGTTAGAAGAATTCTCGGAAATACTACCGAGATTTCTAAGCTAGTGAAAGGCTGCTGCGGCTATTTAAACCGTATAAATATTGATGTTTTGCGACATTTAAAATCCTAAGACTAAGTCCTGGTCTGATAGAAAATTAGTAAGAAATACTATTTCAAAAAGTAACCTAGTATAAACTATGTTGTTTACGAGGTTAAACCGAAAATATGTATTAAAAAAAAAAAAAAAAAATCAAACAATATATTTAAATGTTTACAGTTGTAACCTAAAAATATTGACTGTTGGGGGTACTCATCAAAGGTCAACAGTTAATTGCATGCGTTTGCGTTTTCATTTTATTACATACACTAGGTATACAGTATACTTAAATGTACCAATTAACACATAAAGCCCTTAACATAGCTCAGTGGGGTTGTAGCAGCATTATTTTACCTAACATTTTAAAGTAATAGTAATTTTTTTGAAAAATGTTTTCATGCGAACAATTTGCAAAAAGACAATCTCGCTTACAGTTGCACAATATATCTTAAGCGAAGCTAAAAACAACAGACAAGCAATCTAAACTCGTGATCGAGTCGCGCATAATTTTCTGCATAAACTTAATATGAATAAGTTTAGATTGGTCGAAAACATTATTAAGCATAACAATAGAAAACAACGTTGTTGTTTATAACAATGGAGTGGCTGAGATGTTAAATTCTTTAGATTCTACAAGTGCTTTTTATCTATATTGTATATAGTAGTATACTTTTCTACTTGATAGCGTTTCTAGACGAATTTAAAATTTACTATATATTTATAATTTTTACTTATAAATGGTTATCAGGTCATGCATTGAACCCACGCCATAGGAAAAACAATTTTTAATTTCAACTCCGGGTTAGGTTTAGAAAACATGGAAACGTCGGGGAATTTTAAAGAGTAATCTGTAACAACCATGCAGCATTGAGACGTCGAAGCCCTTGATTTAACAAAACTATTATGTACCTTTCAGCAGGTTTCAAAAGGCTTCAAGTCCGCCATCAATCATGCCTGTGCAACGTAGGTTTTTGACGAAGAGTACTGCAATCAATAACCTTGGAACAGCAATTTAATATTAGCATCATTATTATGGTGTGTGTGTGTGTGTAATCGTGTAACAAATATGCCAAGCTCGGGCGTTTCGCGCTCGTTATCCCGTCGATTTCCGCATTACCGTTATCTGTTTAGGAATTACATTGAGTGAGGTCGAACGCGAAAAAAATACATAGAATACACAACGAAAATAGTAATAATTTATATAATACCTGTATCGAAATACAACGGTCGATTGGAGAGCCATCGTACCAACAATAGACCGTGGTCGTTATCATCATCGGACGGGCAGACACATTCTTTTCAGCGCATAACGTATTCCGTCAGCGTAAACACACTGGAACCGTCGGGTCGTACACGGCGACGATTCCCTTTGAGGTCATTGAGCTATCGACTGTGGTTCTTAAGCGATGTACACACTGTATAATATTATTACTATTGTAATAATATTATTGTACCTACGTTCTTATAATACGCTCCGTCCGTCCGTGTGCGTGTCGCACCGACGACGACCGGTCGCCATACCGGAAATCGGCGACACCGCAAGCGGAAACAACGGTGCAGGGTGCCGAAACGATTAATTTCGTTATTATTTTACTGTTAATTGACTGCGCATAAACTTTATGTAAATGGCACCTCGCGTGTCGATAAATCATAAGTCTATGAGAACGTTTTGTCAACAGATCATCGCCTCCCGTTGAGCGAATACAGCTGAATCAATAACAGTTTTGAGTTTCACCCGCAATTTGACATGGTTTTTGAGACCGGATGAGATATTATTATCTTTAGCCGGCGTTACTTGATCAGTCTTGGCGAATTCTGTGACCCGAAACAATTCTTGGCCGGCAGGCTCCAATCCCGAAGCCTAGTCTAAGACGATCCAGGTCCGGTTTGATCGATTCGCTAGAGGGACGGTGCCACAGTGTATCTTACCACATCTGGACAGTGGTTGAGTGTCACGGCTATTATTGTCTTTCTTACGCCCATGCCGTGTGAGATGGCGATGAATAATGGATATTCTCGGCTCGGGGCTCTACACAAAGCCAAGTAGTTTAATAGCCAATAATAATTCCGGAATACACCGCCGACCGAGAAACGGCATCGTCTATAACTGTAAGTCAGTCGTCGCGGAATTTAGATTGGGATTTGGGACAGCGAAACATTATTGTTCGATATTTTATTGATGCAGAAGAGTTCTTCCTCCTCGCATGTTTTGTGTCGATAATAATAATTATATTGTTGTCGACCTAATCTCGAGTCCTAACTCGAGATCACAATCAGTTATCTTATATATATATATATACTACAGTGCAATAAAATCCAGTTAATTGAATAATAAATTAAAGCAGAATGAGCTCTACTAATCAGCGTCTAGTATATGTACCATGTGCTTTGATTATAGGAAAGGGAATGAATTAGGCATTTGGTCGAACAGACGTTTGAGTTACCTACAAAGTCTTTAGCCGAACAGTGTAAGCTTTATCAGATCCGTTAAACTTAACACGTTGATTGTACAGCGTATAGTATAATGTGTTAGTAGCGTATATTACAAATGTTCGTAAAAGAACTCACAAAATTGCTAAACATAAAAATCTATACAACATCTACGAAACTGAAATATATTTAATAATAACGCGATCATGTGCATATATTATTTGCACGGCTAGCGATTGCAAAAAATAAATATGTTTCATTTATTTATTAACTGCGCGCTTACCGTATGGTGTTTGGCCTACGCGTAATTCACATAGCCCTATAAATTATGATAATTTGATGTTGGTTTTTTAAAACTACCCCGAGATGTATTTCTTATAGCTTCTTTCCCTATACGGGTCAATTTTTTAAACAATACAAATATAGTTAAAACAAATTTCGAACGGCGCTATCACTCAGAAGAAGGACTCTGCAATACGTCTGAAACGTCAGCAACAAGTCTAAGACATAGAGTACATCCGAAGACTATCAAGTTATTGATATGTTTAAACAAATTAACAGCTATATTCATTCTTTCTTTTTCTATTCATCAGTACCTAAGACGCGAGTAAAAATATACTGTTTAATGTTATTCCGAGGTATTTAAAAATTAAAGTTCAAGGTATTTTTAAGGTCGATTAACCCTTACAGTTAAACATTATGCCACAATTATAATTATACAACGTGACTATAACGTCTTCTCCGGTGTTGCATCAACATCAACTCTAATGGACTGTACATGAAATATGAATCATTATAGTGCCAATGAGCGGAGTAAATAGCACATAGACGTTGTCTATCCCCTCAATTGCTTATACAGAATATCCCCCCCCCCAAAAAAAAAAAACCACGACGCACGGAAAGAATTGAAGCGAAATCGCCGCTTCGACACCAAACGACACGAGGCCTTAAGAGTAGAAAAAGCAACCGAATCTAAGTGGGTCGATTTCGCCGTATAATTAATAAGAGATCGTAGCCCCCCCCCCCGGCTCCTCTATATACATTTGAATCTTTTGAATGCATACATTGACGAAATAATGTTAACAATTATTGCATTACTAATGGCACGCGAGCTTCTACAGTGACAGGACCACATTAATTGAAATATATTATATATATATATCATCGACATTGTACGTGTCCATTGAATGACGAATAGGCTATTAATAGGTTTTTATGAACTATTATCCATTCTCTACTTCCGTGGCCAACCGCGGAATTAGAGTTTCTTACTAAGTCTCTAGAAAATATTATGTGGACGTGTCACTACGATACTTATTTCAAAAACACCAGCACAGTGGACAGAAGTATTAAGGAATTATTACAACTGAAAATCATTCAAATAAACGCCGCTTAGATGCGAAACTATAGATGGCAATAACTATAAAAAATAAATATAAATAATTGTGTAATGACATTTTTTTATGTTGAGATATTTCTACTGATTAATTGGGAATATATTACAACAAAAACTCACAAAAATATTTTCAAAAAAAAACTAAAATTACACAGTTCTACAATTTTCAAAAATGCGCTTTACTGAATGACAGTAAAATCAAATATCAAATATATATAATTTCAAAAAAAAAAAAAAAATGAGAGCAGTATTTTATGATTGTACCCATTCGTTAATTTATCTATATTTTGATCAAGTCACAGGCCACAGGCCCAGTTACTGTGGTCGGTAGTCGTATAGCCCTGTTTTTTTTTCAGGCCCTAACACTGCGGGCCCTAGGCACTATGTTTGTAAACGAATCTCGTCTTGTTCGTGTTAATATTTATTATATACCGTTTGTGTGAATATTTGTGTTGTACAATAATATTTACTCTAAAACGGGACGTTATCGGCGCACAATACCTCCTATTGACGTTGTTCAATATTTGTTATTTAAAACAATATCATGTATGTTTTTATTATTATTATTGACACATGTATTTCGTCGAACGCGTTTCTTCTTTAAAATCATTTATGTATTTGTGTATTTATTTCGTATTTGTATTCAAATGTTTCCCCCTTTATTTTTTCAGACTGCCGTCGCTCGTTCTTCAAGTAGCCAAGCATCGACGGTTCTCGAGCAGATGAACAAATATTTCTTCTTCACCAGGACGAAAGGACTCTTTAGAATATGTTACCCGAAAGACAGACCTCCGACCGGTAAATATGTCTTGATGATTTATTAGTTTGAGTAAAAAAAAGAAAAAGATGTTTTTTGGATTTAAACTTTTGGTAGGTTTATAACCAAGGGTGATAAATCAGTCGGTCTCGTTGTCGAACAGCAATAGCACGTGGTAATAATATATTTATACCACATTAGGTTCGTGTAACAGCTAATGCGGTGCGCACTGTATGGACGCAATAAAGCAGCATACTTTTTGCTCGATGTAATATTATTCTACGTGATTATTATTATATTGTACAGACAGAAAATCGTACACGCCGTCCGACAGAAAAACGTCATTGATTAAAAAACCGTAATCGTGAAAAAAATAGCGTTCTAGGTATATCTATTGAACAATAACAACAACAATAACGATAATATTCTTAAATAACACGGCCTCGTGATACATTTATTGTAATTTAATTTACGCGCTGTGTTCCCTACAACAATGTACCTAACTGGGTTGGGTGGTTGGTCGAAGGCTAAAAGTGTAGAACGCCGTCTGTGTGTGTGTGTGTGTGTACGATTTCTGTTATGTCTTGCCGTGTTCGTACAAAATACCTAATTAAATATTGTCGTTTGTTTGTTTGTTTTAAAACGTTGTATCGAAGTTGTCACTTGTGTTTGAAAAGAAACAAACACTTTTTTGTTTTTAACCGGATAAGGAAACACGTTCGCTTTGTTCTACTCATACATAGGCCATCTTGATAATTGTGCAATGACCGATGACGCAGAAATCAGAGTATACGACTTGGTCTGAAACGTTTTTTTTTTGTTATTTTTAACGACATAGAAGTCCGACGACTGTTATTTTAATAGAAATATTTACATATTATATAAATGTCATTGGACGAGTTTGTCTATGAGAATATACCAAGGTAGATACTCCCAATTAAAAAGAAGCGAAGTATATTATATTATCAATGTGTTTTTAATAATTTTTGTTATTAAAACCTCTCCGCTTTTGGCTCTTTTGGGGTTGTCGTTACTTAGACGTCGTTTCCTCAAGCACAGTAAACTAGATTCAAAATTGCAACTACGGTATTTATTTTAGGGAAGAAGTAAGACGTCCCAAATGGCATACTTTTGATGTTATAAAGGCGTGTCTGTCATTAAATTTTTTTTTAACAGATTACATAACAACTATTATTAAACTTTTGATTTCCTCACCATAGTAATTAGTTTCAGACCATTGCCGACAAGAGCGGTTAACAGATGTCACAGTTGTCATTTTAAGCTGTTTGGTACTATATTATTATTATTATCATCGCATGAAAAATACATAAGTCTTTCTTTAACTGGGACGGGTCGATCCGGCCGTTGGGAGAACAATGAAAATCGCCCATAACGACATCTCCATAATATTAGTTTCTCTTTTTAATATGCGTTTTTGTACGCCTATAACACTACGGGCGCGATGACTTAACATTAACGCCGATCGCGGTTTAACGGCCAGTGCTAATAAAACGTTTACCGCTAAAATGCACAAGCAAATCTGTTCAGCCTTATTAAAATAAGATAACACACAGCGTAGAGTAGGTATAATGGTTTCAGTGAAAAGGTTCATAATAATTTAAAAAATATATATATTCATAGCTCGAGCATCGCGTCATGGTCGTAGTTAAAAAATTGGGTTTACAAACAATTTTTCTATTTTCTTTTTATGTTTTTTTTTTTTTTTTTTATAGAACTACACACGCTTCTTATTATATTTTAGTGTTATTGTTGAGTCTTTGACTTAGCGGCGGCCTCTGAACGTTTACGCGTGTATTATTATTTATACATTAGAAAACATAATATATTATTATTATATACATATACTTACACTTACTAGTTACTATTGTTTACCGCTGCAGCCGTGGTCGTGTAGTCGAATTTTAACGAATGGTATGTGTTATTGTGACCGCGTGTGAAATGTGTTTACTAATAAGTAGTAACAATTAAATAGCGTTCTCAATGTCTCGATTTTAACGAGCTGTGAAAGAACCTTTATTGCATATAATATACATAGGTTGTCAGTTGTGCGACTTGCGAACACACTTCGGACGTCCGTCCCACCTTTGGGACCACCCATGATATTCATGTCTTCACGTTTAACGGCTATATTCGATTAGCTCGGATTTCGAGTTGAAATTTGGGCACTCGTGATCGTCTATAGTTTGGGTTATAATAATATTTTATTGTTTCATGTTATTATTGTGAAAAAAAATTACAATTAGTACTAATAAAGGTGGGAAAATTGTACTTAGCTTGAAGGTTAAAACTACGAGGTTGAGAAAAGTAAAACTGTGGCGAAGGTAACACTAATAAAAAATAGTATAATATTGTGTGCCCAACGGATAATGTTAAGTAAAAAATGTTCAAATATTCAAAATATAAATAAATACAACTATATTATATTAACGACTGGCGTTATAAAGTTTTTTTCTTTTAAACAACGAATTATGCTTGACAAATATCTAATTTAATGTTAATATTCTATTGTTTTATTATTAATCTCAAGTTTTGCAAATTTTACTATAGCTTATTATAATTTACAGTTATGGAAGGTGTAATATAGTATTACACATAGCCCAAAGATAACTAGATAACTGGTATTTCTGTAAAAAACTATGCACTCGCCTATGGGCCTGATATAATTCAGATTGCTGCACCAAAACATAGACATATTTTTAATCCGTAAACAAGTTATTTTATCTGGTTGCTGCACCTCCTCAACCTTTTATAGGCCCAATTATACCACGTTTGTATATAATTAGTTAGCATTAGCATTCGCATTTAGGTTTACATAACGTTTTTAATTTCCGAATAAGAGTTAATCTAATTTGAAGAATTTAATTAAATAATATAAATATTCAAATGTAGCGCATCAATTACCACATGTACATACGCGGTTAACTACGTTGAACAAAAATGCTAAATCAATTTGTATTTAAAACATTTACACCATAGTTCTATTATGATGTAGATACGGCCAAGTTGGTTCCTGTTATGAATACTTCTCTCCCGTCGCTTATGCTCTATTTACTCTGTCACATACCTCTATATTCACTTTGCATGACCGCCATTAATCTGCATGTACGAAAATCTCGTGCCGTGTTATATATATTTTTTAATTGTACACGCTGCAGTGCTGTTTTTTTTATCATCTGTTTAATCACGAGACCGTACAGGCAGAGATAGGCGGTATACAGGTGTACATGCGATAATAATAATATATAGCGCGCGGTACTCGTGAGCCATGCTTCCTCCGCCGTTAACAAACACCTCTTAGGAGGAAAACCTAGAATAACATTATAGTAAAATATCTAAATCATTGTCGCAATCGCATATTTTTACTACGGCCGACCCGTTACGTCACTTGTCCGCTATTAATTCTTCCACCGTGTGTTTTGCTCCCACGGAATCGAACGGTCCACGACAACATTACAATAGAGCACCAGATTTTCTGTTTGTGTGTCGGCCAAGGATATGTCTGTTAGGTAAAAAAAAAGTACAGAATTGCAATTTAACGCATCGTTCGTATACCTACACACGTTTACACTTGCCTATACGTACTACGGCTAGAGTAGAAAGGGCCGGATTCGCATAGTTTGTGCGCGAAGTTCTGTTGGAAGTAAGTAATAACTGCGTTTAAGAAACCTCTCTGTTTATGTGCACTCACGTGCGCGTCTCCGGGCTATGACCAAATCCGAGCAAAACGTTATTGTCAGCTACGACCGACGTCGCCCAGGTGGTCTATTTTCCATTCGGGGTGGCCAAGCGTTTTATATGATTACATATAAATGTTCTGATAAAAGCTGTATAGAAAAATAATAAGATTTAAAACATGCCTTGTCCAAAGTTGTGATTTTTATTAAAAACAACAATCGTAGCTGTCAATCAATAATTTAACTATTGTTATTGAAAATCGCCTAAAATTTAAGATTTAATACATATGTATATTCAATATCCCAAAATAAAAGTTTGAGCATGAAGTACACGTTTAACAGTATAAGACTGAAATTTAAAAAACTACTTAAATTAAAAGGTAATCCGACAATTTCACAAAAACGGTTAAAATGAAGTTTTAAACATTATTATATGATGTCCAACATAGATTTTTACAATGTATCATTGAATCAATGAAAATAACTGTAGCGGTTATCATTGTGTATTTGTCATATTATTTAATTTTGTGTGGCGAACATTATTTTGTTATGTACGTGAAAATTACTTTTACATAAACGGTATTAATAATGCGATAATTAAGACTTGTTTTTTATTTAACAACTCGTGTATTTTTTTAATACAAATATAGAAATGTCATGTGGTGTTCTATCTGCGAGCATGGCCCGCGGTACCATTAATTTTCTAAAAGTGTAACTGTTGATTAAATTTCATAAGGTCAACTAGTTTTAACGGGGTTTCGGTGAAGTCAACTCTACTTCGAAGATTTTGGCAAATACCTCGAAACTCGACGAACGTAATTTGCATTGGAAGAGTGTTAACAGTAATTGTCGGTTCTGGGTTAAAGGAAGCTGAAAACTAAATAACAAAAACCATAATAACACCAAGAGTATAACCTCATTTGACCGGTTCTACAAGATTTGACGATTAGTCGAGGCTATCATTTTTTTTTTTTAGAGTATTGGTTTCATCGGCAGTTTACACTGCAAGCAGAATTTCAGCACGTCCATGTTTTATTTGAACGATGCTTCATAACAAAAATACCAAAATTTGTTGACTTATTAGTTGAGTAAATACTGTTCGTTAAATGTTTACCGAAAAACTTTTTTAAAAAATCTCACAAAGTATAATTAACTAAACACATTGTGGAACTCAGTCGCCATATTGTTTCAAAGTGATGTAATACTAGTTGTTTAGTAATTATTTTACCATATTTTCAATTCTATTTCTTTCTCTCCCATTCCTTTTTTTTTCTTCAAATATTGATTTTTTTGTTGGCTTATCATCTTTTTTTCACGTTGTAATACCGAATATGGATTAAAATGAATACTACCGCCATGACTAATTTTGACGTTAAACACGTCTACTTGACATTTTTTCTACACGTTCAGAAAATCCTTGAGGAGTAGTGAGTACAAGGAGTGCCTTCATGCTACTCATTTTCTAGAAACGTCACGTATAATGTAGGGCGATTTTTTTTTATGAAGTTATACAATTTGAAATTAATAATCATTTTCACAATCTTTTTTAATTAATGTGTTGGTTTTGCCTGTTGGCGCATGTACCAACTACAAATACGCACCAGTGCGATCAAGTTAGCACCTGCGCATTCGACAGACATTTTGTTGTTCATGTAATTATGGCGATGTACCTGCAATAGAATGCTTCGGTTTATACGCAATTCCGAAAAAAAAAAAAATACCATCGTTATTATAGAACTGTGAAGTCTAATTACGTTTATGTCACTGCCGGTTACCCGCCATGCTCGTAACTTCTGTTAGATTTGTTATGTGTATCACTTATTTGGCACAAAAGTAACATACGGGCTAAAACGTGTGGTTATTAATATGCCGTGGAAACAATAAGGGGATCTCTTCTGAATATTATGCCCAGCTTTATTAAGCTTCGGCGCAAAACGCAGAGAAGATGTTTACAAACCGATTTCAAGATTAGGTACTCGGTACTCAAAAAAATGTGATTGAAACATCAAACGGATACATTATTTTCTTTTACCATCTGAAACCGATACAAAGTTGTTATTGCCTTGGGAGAACGCCTATTCCGAATGACCGTCATTTTAGCAATACGAAACACCATCACCGATTTCCTGGGGGCGCACACATACTTTAGGAGTGTCTGTACGTACACGGTATACCGTACATGTACAGCATCAGCTGCCTCGTGTACCGGTTTCAGCGGATTCTTGCCCACATTCCACTGGCTTACACACACCACACGTTGCCGCGTTGTCGACCGGTTCCATCTGTGCCCCATTATCGCCTTCTAGTCGAACGCCAAGGTCATGCGTTTAGTAGCACACACACACACACTCGCACAAGAAGAAAAGGACCAAAGAAAAAACCCCACAACGGAATTACGGCGGTATTTTTATTACTTCTTCTTCCTTTTTTTCCCCCATTCGTCTACAAAGAGACATTATTTTCTTCGGCGTTTTATCTCCTGGCCTTTTAGAAAGTGGTTTCCCGCTTGTACAATATTATTATTATCATCATTACTATTACACCAGTACCGCAAGACGTGGTGAGACCCGTCGCAATTTCACACCGTTTGTTGTCTGGATATAGAATAATTGTTATTATTATTTGTCTTTTTTTGTACACTGGTTGTTTGGGAATAAGAGTAAAAGTTTCCCTTCGAATGTTTTTTAACGGATTTCATCCGAAGACCGTCGGCGGCGGCAGCGACCTTATAGACAAAACAGCGATGTGTCTACTGTCTATGTCGGTCCAAAAGAAAGTGCACCGGCGACCGGGTTAAAAAAACGATCTCTGGAAGCGGTTGCGAAATTACTATTTGTCTATAGGTGGTATATATAGTCGGTCGTGACGTCTGAACTCGGCCGGTGTGGTGTGTACATTGTAAAGGATTTTCATCGGCGATTTCAAAACAAGTTTTCAACGTGGAACGACCTGTAGTCGGATCGGTCGTATTTGTATAGATGTATATTTTTTGTGCCTGTTATTTTTAGCAGCCGCGGCCGGTGGCGTAAGTCGAATCGTCGTAGGTACATAAAAATATTAATTTTAAGTTAATAATAATAGTTAAGACTTCAGATACACGTACATGTCTTCGAATAATTACGCCTAAACCGATGCTCGTGAAACGCCGCACGCATGTATACCCGAGCGTTTGGATAGTACATGTTATATGTGTATGAGGTATACGAGAATGTGTGTATGTGAACTGTGAACCAGAAACGGTCGAGACGTCGACAGATAAAATTGTTTACTTTCCACGGCTTGTTAAAAATCTCTCGACGGTCCTTCAACGTGGTGTTCAACAGTACACATGAGTTTCGTTGCCTATCCACTAGTTACTAGAAGATAAGTACAAACGCTTTTATGGTTTTACGTTTTATCTTTTGAACAAAAAGGAAAAAAATGTATTTTACGTTCCTGTTTTGCTTTAGGTAAATTATTATCTTTTAGAAATCGGAACGCGCCAGTATCAACGAAGTGTCCTTATTTTTTTTCTTGCTGTTTCTTGAAATCGACCAAGATGGTCCTAGAACTTGTTACTCAAAATGATTTACTACATCTTCGTCGCTTTGTATAAGCCGCCCTAATATTATTATTTATTATCATTAAATAACCGTAGCTTCATCTTTAAATCTTTATCGTAGCTTCTCCCTTAAACCGTCTTGACCATAAAATTATATACTTTGCTAACAATCGTCGTATAAAAGACATGAAAAAAAATAAACCAAGAAGCTGATAAGTGACAACTAAAAAAGTTAAAATATTGAAACATGTATTCAATGTTTTTTTAAACTTTTTAAATATTATAGTTACTTTTAGATCCTAGATTGTTAAAACATTTCAATGAGGGTCAAATTAACAAGCGACGGCAGTCTGAAAAATAGGTTAAAAACTACTGTAATATTAGTATAAAATAATAGTAAATAACACTAATGTTATTAACGGATAAACAAGCATTCAATGAAATGCATGTGTAAATCTATATTTATAAATAGTAATATTTTAAATAAACAAAAAGTTATAACTGTTTTAAATTACAAAAATTGTACAATGTTAATATACTTTATTTGATATGAATATCGAGATGTCGTGGATTATTCCTTGTATTATTGCCAGATTCGCCAGGAAGATATTTTTTTATTAGAAGGTTTTTCCACTATCGTTTTTGTAACAGATTCTAAGCTGTTATTAGGCGGCAACTTTCCATTCTTCTAGCTACTTTCAAAACGTTAACAGTTAATGTTATCACTGGTTAATTTACCTAGCTCTAATTTTCACAGCTTACCTGAATGGGATTTAATTATTTTTATAAACATACAACTCATTACTAAACAAGTGTTTGCGAAAAAATAATATTAATTTAAATAACTATACTGAAGTCGAACTAATTTTCCATTAAAGAAGTCTGGGCCCAATATTTATATCACATTCAATATAATGACTGTTTGAAAGCGTATGAAATCGTTCGCGGTACAACGACTTACACTATTATCGTCGGCAAACCGTAAAATATAAATTAAACAGTTTATTGGTTATTTTAATAGTATCCGTTTTGATGATTACCTTGGTCGAAAAAAGTCACTGAAGTATTATAATTTGAACGACCATCGTTGGCCATACCTTACTTAGTTTCTCTTTCTGCAATGGACAATGATATACATATAAAACGGTACAGTAGTGGGTGCTAAATACTTACTATAGTTACTCTAAATAGATACGGTAATACTCAAGTTTATATTATTAATAATTTTCAATGATTAAGTTATGTATTGCGATTATTACGAGTTGAATAATTGACCATATCATAATATCACAATATCATATTTTTCTATGGCTCATAACTGTAATGTCTTGATATGTAATGAAGTTTGTCATTGTTGTCATTTCGACTATATTTTCACTTTTGTTGTCGATTCAATAGTATGATCAAAATCCGCAATAACAATAATAATACTAATGGGTGTATAACTGCGGATATGTAACGTGTATAAGTATGGCCAAAGGTCTGTTTTCCATGGAAGATTACCACAGACTTTAAAAATTGAAAAATATCATCTCGACGTCTACTTTACTATACCATTTGTCGACCTTAAACAACGAATAACCGAATCTTTTGCACGATTAACTTTGGCATCTATACTCAAGCGATTATTCAACCAACGTGCAGGATTTTACTCTCAAACGATTATGAAAATATTTCACTCTCGACGTTGTTACAATAGATAGTCCCATAGAAGCTAGATTAAAAATGAGAAACGCGCAATCAAAACGTAGTTATGTACAGTGGAGAATGTCCCGCGCGAAGAAAAGCGTTTTATGTCTGAGAAGGTGTCAACGGTCACTGCTGATTGTTCATCAACCGAAATGACTGCGCGGTTCCCAATGTTATTCCTCATGACGTATTAAACTCCACAAGACATTAAAAAAAAAAAAAAAAAAAATTGGGCAATAATCTGCTGATTTCAAAACGGTTCCTAATCAATTTTTAATAGTACCTATCTGTGTTATTCCCAGACTACGCGTTTACTTATCAAACGCGAATTAATGCCGGCGTGGTAGTCCTGCGTGTAATGTAATGAAATGATTATTAAGCGATTAATTTCTCTTGAGATCTTTATGATATGTGCAACAACCACCTTTGTACTCGATTAAAATACTGACTTAGCGGGTTTGTTTTTTTTTTTGCAGTTGACACCTATTTGAGTCCCGTGGAAACACACTGCATGAATGTCGATTACTTCTTCTTGGATTCGGACAACCAGACACACGAATTCTCAGAGGACGCCATGACCAGACTCCGTAAGTACTCGATACCTATACAAGTTTAAATAAATATTCATATTATCAACACGGTGCCGAATCAAGTGAGGCAGCTAAAATATTAGAGTTTCTAAGAAAAATGGCGGTTGATGATGAGTGTGTTGTAATGTGTGGATTTTAACTTATTTTGTTATCGCACAGACATGGGCAGGTCGACAATCGCCTTGTTCATCGTTAGTTTCTTCGTGATGTTCATCGCCTTTTGGACTGGAGTGGCGGGATGCTGGAGACGATCCCCAGGAAACATAACGGCCACCGCGATTTTGGTACTTCTAGCTTGTAAGTATATTCGAAATTTTCAATCAAAGATTGGCGGGACTCCGCGATCAGATTTTATCTTATATGGGGTTTTTCTTATCACTCCAGGTTTACTCAGCGCCGGCGCTATGGGCTTCTGGCACGGAGTCGAGTACTACGAGAAGGAGCGTCGAGTAGGAGATGAGTTCTACCAACAATGGAATCAGGTAAGGCCAATACACTAAATTTATCAAGCAGACAGACAGAATTTACAACAGCCGTTTGATTGCCTTTTTTTTTTGTACTATTCATACACAGATTCTCCAGGAAAATACGCGCATTTCGTACGACTGGTCGTTTTTCATGGCGTGGACCGGGGTCGGTTTCTCTCTAGTGTCGGCCATATTGTTTTCTGGTGCCGCCATTTGCCTGCGAGGCGAACGGGAACGCGAAGAAGCTCTCAACATGCAATACTTAATGCCAGGTGAGTACCTAAACATTTAAAAAGCACATTCCAATCGTAAATACAGTTATATAAACCTTACCCTATCCCAAAAAAAAAGAGCGCCCTAAAATTCACTAAAACAAATAGTTCAACCAACCGTTGACAATAGGAGTTTCGACTGGTTTCACAAGTGTAGTATGTCCATTCTTGGCCAAAATTAATACCGCATTATAGTTCTACAGTGGAGATGATTATAATCATAGTGTATACTATGTATGATGGTTTAAAAATTGAGGCGTTGTTGCAATACTCTTTTAGAAAATTCTATTCTGAATCATTTTGTAAAGACTTGGTTAACTAACTCATATGCTTACGCAACTAGTTCACTCTACAAACTATCTTTACAATTATTATTTGCATCGCGTATGATCCATGATGTTTTTCGATTGTACTAAACGAACAACTAAACGGTTTTCCATTCGACTGAAATAAATCACATGCTCTTCAAACTCCACCTTACGGCTTCAAAGGTCCTGTCGATGATTTGACCTAATAAGGTTTCTGTTTATAGTCGTTTTGCGTTGAGCTTTGACTTTTGAGTCGTGACAGTGACCGAATTACTGTTTGTATAAATTAGGGTTTAATTGAATAATTGTTTTATTAAATTCAACGCGAAACACGAAAAAGTGGCATATTTCAGAGGAGTACATTTCCAAAAACTTTGACTCGGCCATTATTGATGGAACAGTTCTGTAAAATTTGTATTCAAAACTTAGAAATCTCGATCCCGGTTAACTCTTATGTTGTTAGTACACAAACGAGTTATGACAATATACTCTATAATAACCCGGAGACAGATCGTTTGGTCGTGGCGGCCTTGGGCTCAATAGCGAACCGAACTTTCGGTCGGGCCGTCACGCGATGGCGATGGCTCTTGACCCGGCTAACCCTAATAAAAATCGTGTGCTCGCCAAATCCAAATTACAAAAAATTGACTGACATTTTATTTTTTTACAGTGTACCCGCAAAAACAACAGTACGCCTATGCCGGATATCCAGCGCCCAACGCTTACCCGTCGGGACCGTACTACCACGGTCAACAGCAGTACGCCGGACATTACAACTACTAGACATATTTTATTGGTTCTCTAAAGGCTTACCACGATACCTATTGTTCGTTCGAACGTGCCCTCCAACAACATTGTCGTTACTCTCCTTAACATAAACAACAACACAGCTGTATTCGTTTAATTTTCGCTGTATTTGACCATAGGGCACAAAAAAAAAAAAAAAACAATTTATTGTTATGTGACCATGCGCATTTTTCCGGAAAAAAAAAATAAGAAGATTTGCATTAATTAATTTAGTAATACTTATTGTTGTTATGTAGATACCGATTGTGAAAATCGCGTGGTCGTAGAATAATAATTTGTTTTTTTATTTAATATTTAATTCATTATGATTGTATAATACAACGAAAAGAGCTCGTGCGGTCAATATTATTATCGGCACACGAATTCCACCAAAGTTGCTCAAAAACCTTATTATTTTTTTTTTTTATTCAACTAGTTAAGAGTATTTTTTTTTACAATTTATTATTTTACATAATTTCTTATTATTATCACAATTTTTTTTTTTTTTTTGTACAATTTTATTTATATACTTTGTTGTATATTTATTGAAGTCTATGTACCTATATTATAATACATATATATATTTACATTTTTAAGACGAAATAACGATGTACTTTTAGTATCGGCACGCTCTTAAGAATTAACAAATAACTTTGTTGTTATCGCGTTTAGGCCAATTTATTTTTAACTAAATAGTATAAGCGCTCGTGTTTAAGTGTATGTGTGTGTGTGTGTACATATCGATACAGGCAAACGGAAATGCAAACGGAAATTGTGAAATCGATCGGTCCGAGTAAAGATGAGATCTATCGAGCCATTTGCTAGTTCTGTTTTTCTCATAATATATACTTTATGTGAGTTTGCCATTCGTGTGTGTAGACAAGCGACAACTACATATTTATGTTTATAAATAACACACATTATTATTATTATTATTAGTATTAATATATTGTATTAATTATATTATTTTGCGCGTTATGTTAAAACGAACGGACGTGCTGATTTTTTTTTTGTATGTAACAAAAAAATAAATGCTTGCTTCTACGTCGTAGTTTAATTCAATATTTATGTATGTTAATAATATTTTAAGAGGAAAAAAAATGAAAGATAAAGGCTTTATTTCGAACGTCTGTCAAAAAAAAAAAAAAAAATGCAAATAAAATATAAACGGAATTGTTTATTATTTATGATACAATCGATTTGTGATTCATATTAATCTGACTAGTACCATTATTTCAGGACTCGTCTAGTGTAAATATATATATTTAAAAAAAAATCCTTTACCTAATATCAGTTTTACCCAATAAGTTGCGCAACAGCGTTGATGCTCAATAATGATATTCTGGCCTGACGGACGATCGTGAAAAACACAATTTCAGTTTACTTGTGTGCAATTTGGCGAATGTATATTATTGTCATTCGAAAAGCGTTGTAGTTAGTAAACGTTGTCGATGATCGCAATGACAATGTAAAAAAAAAAACGCACATACGTGCAATTTAAGAATCAACAGCTCCGCATCGACGCTAAAATGATTAGAACACTTTATAAAAATACCTAACCATAAGCGTGTACCGGTCATCATCTGGTTAGGTAGGCCTTAATGTATACCTAGTGGATCGTCTTGGACATTCTTTTGCACAGTGATTAAATACACGGATACATATAGTTAACTTTCTTGATATAATACAATATATAATATATATTAATATATGTGCTCCTTTTAATTGATTGTTGAAAACATAAGTAATTACATATTATTATTATATTGTCTGATCCATACACTTTCGTGGGCGGTGGATATTTGCAAGGATACACGTTCCCACGTGAGTGCTAGTCGCATTACACATACACACATGAATGAGTCCTTCGTGGGTGCTTACAACGTTGTGTTATTCTGTTGTCGACGTTGGCCAATACCGATCTACCACTCCCTCTGGTCTATTGGATGCCAACCTAGACATTTCATTGCATTTTTGTAAAAATCGTTAGTAAGGTGCGAACGCGGTGTAAATATAATTTTAAAAGCGTTTAGAGTCATGTGTGTGTTAACACAGACAAAGTATTACTGTTTCTACACCAACGCCGACCGGGATAAAGCCCATTATAACGTTACAAATAGTGTTAAAACAAATTTAGTTCCAATAACCGACGAGGAAATGAATCGGGATCGCTGTTTTTTTAGGCATTCGACATCTCGTCAGTCAGAACTTGTCCTCGTTAAAAACTGGATTTCAAATTGTCACGAACTACTTCAAATAGGTGACACGGTCAGTAGTCTAAAACCTGTCAACCTATCAACTAAAGCTGGTAATCGATACTAAATTATAATATAATTTTCAGGTAGTAAAAAAACGGCCACGAAGAGGAGCTGTTCGCTTATTTTGCTAATTTATTTTAAGTTTTTATTTTTAGTTCATTTTGCGATGAAATGAAAACTATTCAATTATTGTAACCGTAAAAATTGAAAAATAATACAAGTGTCATAATTAAACGTTATAGTAACTAGTCGTAACTCGTAAGTCATAACTTTGGTCTTTTTACATAGGAATACAATTTAAACCTGAGTTTAAATTACAAAACAAAATCCATATTATAGTATAAATTCTTTATACATTATTCATATTGTTTATAATTTATATGCGAGTAAGGAAGGTCGTTTTAAAATTTCCTTCACAAAATGAGCTGTTGAACCAGCTTATAAAAAAACAATCCATCACTATCTCCATTCCTAACGGACCAAGGTGTAAATGTATTATCGAAATCTAGTCACGACATAGTACTTAGATATATAAAAATAAGTTATAGTTTTTTTTGTGGGTTTCGCTCGGGGCCAATAACATACATTGCATATTATTACCGTGCGTTAGGTACTATTGTGTTGTTATTACGGCCGATTAAAATAGAATTTAGGACATTTCGCACTTGCACAGAAATCCGATATCGGCACGGATATAGGTACCGCCGGTGTGCGTTTTCGGTGTTCAGAACAATATAATGTTTGTTTGTTTGTATAAACGCTTCATACCAGTCGATTTGGTTCGCTGGCCATCAGATACGCCTGCAGGTCTTTGGCGCTGCACAGAGGTGTGTCGACCTTGCACGTGTCGTGGAACTGCGAATAGTCCACCTCGTATATCATCTTGGTCTTGCAGTAGCTGACGAGCTGTCGAAATCTGTGGCCCCACAGCACCTCGGCGGCCACGTAAGACGTCCGGGCTTGGGTCGTTTGCCCCGTCGACTCGGTCGTTCCCTCCAAGACCACGGCCACTTCGAACCTCTCGTGCAGCAAGTCGGCCGCGCTCATCCCGTAAAAGGGACTCTCCCTGTCGATCCGGTGGACGGCCACCATGGGCCACATCAAAAACACCTGCTCGTCGTAGTCGTCCACGCTGACCTGCAAATGTGCCACATGGTAGTAATTAACAGGACGTGATAATAATACAATAGCGGATCGTCAACCTCGATCAAATAACGTTGAATGGTGTCCAAACTCTAAAGACAAATGGAATTTAATGTTACGTTTGTTTTCATTCGGCGTTGATAGATCTTAAAATTCGGAGATAATCTTTGAAGTAAATGGCACGGCGGATAATATTGAATCACGAGAGAAAATGTTTTAAAAGTTTATATAAAGTTGTGGTTCTATTCAGTGACATTATGATTGACTTTTTTAATATGACAGTTGTTTCAGGGCCAAAGATTTTTATCGGTTTATCTTATGAGCTAGATATCTAGTTGAGTTGATATTTTAATGTTTTACCATGGGATTTAAATGTTTTATTTATAGATTCTGTATGTTTTAAACTATATTTTATAAAGGATTTCATAGTGTACAAATAGAACTACAAATGTTTAAAGAGATGATAGTTTTTTTTGTACAAATTATGTAATTTTTGCTTTTCTTCGTAGAATAAAAAAATACTATACACTTGTACTCGCAGATAACGAGATGACAATAATATTACTGTTTCGTTCTCTGACTCACTTTCTTCGTCTGCATTTTTTGTCAATATAGTTTTAACTTTTTTTTTGTTTTTTTGTCATTTCAAAACTAAGTAGGCTTACTTTCAGGTACGAGACGTGCGGCGACAGTGTTTCTCCTTCGGCAGTCACGCGAGAACGGATATACCGTGCTCTGATGGTGGCCCCGATCAGTTGAGATTTTTCTCTCATGTCGCCCACTCTAAACATGAAACACAATTGACCGTCTCTCTGGCATATGACGGCGTTCCTACTGAACATGAGCGTCTGGCTTCTCTGCTTGGGCCGAGCCATTTTAGCAAACACTATGCCCACCATAAACGCCTGAAACGCAAAATCATACAACCGGGGCTAACATAGATTTCAGATTCCGGCCGGATGTACTGCCTGCCCTACGACAGCTGCTGTTACCTGAATCATCAACCCCGCGATGCTCTGGAAACAGAACATAGCTATTGCTTCGGGACACTCTTCGGTAACCATCCGGTAACCGAACCCCGTGGTGTGCTGCGTCTCCACGCTGAACAAGAAGCTGGCCACGAACGTGTGCATGTTAATCACGCACGGTGACCATTGGGCGTTTGTTTGGTTTTCCGGCAACAAATCTCCGTGAGTGTAAGCGATCAGGTACCAGACGACGCCGAATGCAAACCAGCTGAGCAGGAAGCTCATGCAGAACACTAGCAACGTCCACCGCCATTGTGCGTCCACCAACGTGGTGAACAAATCTTGTAAGTATCGCCGGCGCAATTTTGATATGTTTACCCGAATGATATTGAAATCGCCGTTTTTGTACAAAGCCCGTCGTTTGGCTTTTCTGTACACGGGTGGATAATTCGATTTTCTGGTGCTAAGTATAATGAAACAAAAAAATGCTTTAGCAATATTAAGCAGTTATTCGGTAGTCGTTATTTGTAATTAAAAAATGTTATTTTATTATAATAATTTACTTGAGAGGCTCTACACTATCATACACGGCGAATTGTACATGTCATTTTTCAATAAAACTAAACATTATGCTAATATTTGCTTATATTTTGATATTTAATTTTTTTTCCAACTTTTATAGCGCCTACAGGCCTTATTTTTTGTACAAAAACCTATGCTTTTACTTCTATCAGTAAGTTCTTAAGAATTGAGTTTCGAAAAAACACAATTTTAAAATTATTTTTAGTTAATTGGTTTTTTAAAAAAACTTAAGTAATTTAGAAATAAAACTTAATTCTATTTCAAAAGTAGCAGTTCTTATAGTTGTTTAATCATTTTTACAATATTATTAAAAACGAAAATTAAAAATGTACTTCAATCGATGCCTCAAGCAAGTATTGCAAAGATATAATTTCTGTTTTCAAAACTATTGTCAGATAACCCGTTTCGGAGTACAGTTAAAAGTAAAAGTTGTTTTCGACCAAAAATAAGAGAGATGTAGAATCCTCTTAAAAAAGTAAAATTGAATTAAAACTAAAATTAACGGATAGACAATAACATTCAAATTTAATATTGACTAGTAGGACATCAGTAATATTACTGATGAGAATAACCGGACTTGCGATCATCCCATTTTCGGATTATATTTTTTTATATGTCTTCAAATTTTATCATACAAGCGAAGCAATAACACTTTTATAGGGTAAAATACCGTTTATTTTTGTTGTAAATTTTCTAATTTTTTATGTCCTATCCCTTTTACAGACCATAATTGAAATACTTAATAAAGTAAAAACATAGCCGATTTATTTTATTTTAAATTTCAGTGTATTTCAGTGTGGTTTGAAGTAATGCTTACAATAAAGAAATGTATAATATGTTGAAATAGTTCAGCCACTATAAGAAATGCAGAAAAATAAATGGATGAAAATGGAGGTAAGAGATGCTATGTATGTAGAAGAAAATCGAATGAGAGGTTACCAAAAAAAAAAAAAAAAATGTGGGTGTGTCGTAAAGGGGCCAAATAATATGGAAGATGAGTGAACAGAGAAATGACGATAGTCAGGGAGACCAACTTGTTAGGGATAAAGTTAAGGCTAATAAAATGTCCTTGGTATAATAAATATATTTACATACGTTTTCACTCATTATGATTTATGTTATATTTTTATTATAATCGTGTAAACTAAAAAAGTTGTAGAGTGGTGTAGACTATACGGTAAAATAAACCAAATGACAGATACCTACTTAAACTTATCTACTGATATATGGTGTGTAATATTTTATAGGATAGGTTATTGTTTGTCGTTAACCTAATTGTTGGCACCTAATCTACTGTATACTCAACTATGAACAATATTATTTGATAAGGTTTCTCCGTATGTACACATGTTGTGTTTACAAGAATAACACTTTGTGGTAACATGTTGTAAAATGTTGGAATTTGATGTTTGCCGATTAAAAATAATATAATATTACTATTGTTTTTTAGTGGAACACTGATACGAGAAACCGAACCAGCGTTGATGTTGAAATAATGCAGTAATCCGTTCGTTTTTATCACCCTGCGAAATATTAGCTAGAATATTTGTCGGCAATTGTATACAAAATATATTATCAATATTATAATAAACACAATATATACAAAAAAGCTACTAGAACAGAGACATATATAACCCTCTTTTCTCTAAAGGAACAAAGAAACGTCGTTGGATGGTAGTTGTTTAAATCCAAAAGTTAAGTGATGTCACGTCTTGTTCTATACTTGTTTATGCTTTTATCAATCCTGTACACATATTGCTTACTTATATTTGACTTTTGACGATACTGGTCGTTCGTTTAGTCCATTGGCCTGCACTGGATAATCAGCAGTATTCAATGGTGGCGTCAACAGCGCATCGCTCTGATCCGAATCCACGTGTTGGTCGTGTCCGGGCAAATACAATACCGTTGTGGGCCGTTTGTCCGGTGTGGACGTCATGATTCCCTTTAAGTAGTCACTAATTTTGTCTGGTCCAAGACTACAAAACTCCAGCCAGGATTAGCACAATCTTTGTCTAAAAATATACCACAATTATTGTCTTCGGCCGCTGCACTAGTAGTAGTACCATGTTTTGGGAACCGCCTGCAAAATTCGCCGTGGCAATTTATTTAGATTAAAAAAAAAAAACAATTGAGTACTGACAGCATTTATGTTAACATGTTCAAAATATGTGCGCATAATATGTAGTGTGTATCTACACATCTTATGTACGAAACTCGACAGACTTTAAAACTTCAACAAAAAAATGTTTAATCATTTTAACAACCTTTATCATTTTTTTTTTTTTGTTACCCCGATCATTCAGTGGCTTTTACTTACTTGTGTAACATAATATAACATTATGTAAAAATATAGACCATAGGCCCTGGTAGGCTGGTATTATAGACTGGTACATGTATGCATATTGGTGTGAGTGGGCGAAGAAAATCAATAAAATGTGTAGAAAAGAGAGAGAGAAAAAAGATAGGAAAATTATACATCTTTCTCTGCTGGAGGTATAGCCCAACCGGCCTTGGTCGACAGAAATGGTTATTAAATGCAAGCGCCGCGGTCTGTAATTACAATTAGGGTTTCCTGCTATGCGGAATTTCTTCAAACAAGTATATTGCTTTTTGTTTCCCATTCAATTATGTTACTGATATCGTTCGACGATAAATCTTTGCACGCAATTATCAAACCCAGACATCTTATAAGTTGTATGACAATTATTATTAATATAATCGTTCCGTTTAAAACAGTCATTTTAAAATGTCCACACATAATTTTACCCATTCATCAATATCTAAGTCATTAAATAATATATTTTTAATTTTAAAATATCTATACTCTTCAAAGCGAAAGTGGTTTCTTGCAAACGCATAATAATATAAAGAATCACTATGTCAAGATATTAATTATAGTTTCTCCAGATAATTATAACATTATGTACTCTATAAATATTATATATAACTAATTTTAACTCGGCTATTATTGCGTGGATATTATGTAACCAGTCAATATTAATTATACACTACTAACTGCTGTAATTTGTTACATAAGAAAATAATGCTTATTTGTAAGCCTATCATTTTTCGACAAACACATCATTATATCATTATACACTAGAAAAAATACAAAGTTGGCCCAAATAAATGTACAATTGCTTTAACTAAAAATTTAGTTGGCTTAACTATTTATTTAATTATTCCAACTAGAAAATATGTATTGTGTCCATATACTAGCCATAGTTTTAGTTGGACCAACTATGTATTTTTTTCTGTGTAACTGTAACAATACTCGTTTATAAACGATTGTTAACGTTTATTGTTGGTTCAACTTTATGATCAATTAAAATTAACACGTGTAGTATAAATAAAGTAATAAAAAGATTGAGTGAAAATGTAAGCGTCCATAAATAAAGATTGTTCTGAACTATCACAATCGTGGTCTTAAGGAAAAATAACCAAGTACCAAAATTGCGGCGCAAAATATCTGATCTGCTGTTGTATGTAAATGGATAATATTTTCTAGGTAGTAATGAATGCGCTGGTATTTAGATACTTGAGAGATTACAACAGTCGGATTATGTTAATTTTTATGTTGCACTCGTGTGTTTTTTTTTTTTACAAATTATTATTATATGGTTAATTGACGGTATCCTTTATTTTCTATTCATAATGTTTACGCCACTGTGATTAAATTTAATTACGGTATTCAAACATTAAAAAGGTTAAAATAACGAGGATGTACCTATACCCTAGCCCGACACAATAGGCGGTCAATGTAGTTAGTTTTTCAACTATAACGAGCGCAATGAAAACAAAATAAAACTGACCGAACATAATATAATACAGAGATGCTGACTTATATTTTGCACAATGTTCAGCGTCGTTGACATAGTTTGGGGTGATCGTTTACTTGTATGCTGCGGACAAGCCAAAGTTCGACTAAATTAAATCAATTTGAACCGACAATAATATTGAGGGGTTCAAACTTGAAAATTCAGGTTGGTCTACTTAATTTTCGAGTTATTTAAACTATAGTCTATACTCAATTTCGAATTTCTAATATTCTTGGCCAATATCGTAATGCGTTTTCTCTACAAAAAAGTGTTTGATGATTATTTTGTTAGGAAAACCCAAATTTAAACTCAGATCGACTACCTTTTTTGAAAACTACAATCCACTGTGAAATAAGAGACGGAAAACCCTTATTTAGAACGCTCTTCTTCGGGCTGACTTTTTTTTTCGAACACATACGCATCAGTTTACACATGTAATCTGTATGACTCAGGTTAGGGCACTAAGATAATGGCGGAGACTAAGTAAAAAACACGTTAATTGTTATCAAGTTTTTTTTTTTTAGGTAGGTCTACTCACTATGTCGTTAATGTCTGTAGCTCGGCGGCTATTGCTGGTTTCAATACAACATTTACAAGCCGTTATCGACGGTTACACGGTAAACGTTTCCAATGTGACATTGCGGAGTTGTATGATAACAATAAATACATAAATAATGATAGAAAACCAACAGCTTTAAAACATGTCCGTGTACCTGTGTATTGGTTTTTTGTCATTAATAATTGTTTTTCGACGGTCGACCGACGGTGGACGGACCATTACGGAGTGTACCGCACGCGCTCTTCGGTGACGAATGAATCTGTACGACTGAAACTAGTTAAAAGTTATTGCACATTTCACACACACACACACACACCAAACGCTGAGACCTTGTACTTATATGTTCGAACGGTTTACACGCGTTGTCATCACGGCGACGACAGCCGTCGTTTCGGTGTGTGGGGTCGCACACACGGTTGTTTACTCGACCTAAGATTAAGTTTGCAAAATTTAATTTACTCTCTTTTTATGACCTAAAAATTTGGGTACTAAGTAGTCGTTACGGAACGCTGCCCGGAGAAGGTCGGCTTGTTATAGAAAAAAAAAAAACCATAACAGCTAAACCATTCTACTTTTCAACATCGCATCGTATTTAAAAACGTATTAACACATTATTTATTTAAAGATTTAAACAATTTTGAAAAAAAAAAAATTAATACTACTGCTACTCAACACCGTTTAAATTATGTTTAAACTATGAATGAATGAACGAATGTATAATTCTGCACTTGATTCGGCAGAACGATACTCTAAACTATTGTCGGGCATCGAATATAAATAGGAAAAATTTCTAATAAGAGTGAATTAAACGATCAAATTTTAAAACGGTTTTTTATCCGTTAGTTTTACTAAAAACAATGGACCTAATTGGTATACTTTAATCCGCTAGACATTATTACTTAAAATATGTATTGTTATTCCCATTACGGTGTTTAATCACGAGAAGACGTGCACTACTGATGCACAACGGTTTGCACTTATTTTTTATATCACACTAATATTCAATTAATATTATATTGACTAAAAAGTGAATGTATTGTCGTATAACCTCGCGACGTTTCCCCACGATTTATATTTTAATGTTTTGTTTATTTTACATTTATTTACGCCTTAATGTATATCTGGCAAGCATTGTTAACTTCACTAAAAAAAAAATCTCTACTCCGGATGACGTCAGCGTTGTGTGTAAATCATTTTTACAATATGAACCCTATAGACTTTAAGTTGAATTTAATAGACATAAATCTTCTTGGTTATCCGGACTCAACATGCTCGTAGATAACCGTGTTTGTCTATAAAATTAAAACATTTCCTAAAAAGTCTACCTCTATATATTTTTAAAAGTATGGACAATTTTTTAGGGTCTTTCACAGATTTTAGGTGTCGGTCTTTAAAGGTGCTTAGAGGCTTGCTTAATAACTTATGTCCCACGCCAACCAAATCCGATCTGAATGGTCTTCGAGGATTTACACCAACACTAAAACTCGAAAAAAGTAAATTATATTAAAATGTATTCTAATGTTGGAGAAAGGAATGGGTTTTTTAAACTTTTATCTTTCCAAACATGTTTACCTAATCTGGTTATAGTTATTCAAGGTCAGTGTTATTCATTATTTATTTAGTTGCATTACAATTAGCGTACTATTAGCATATTAATTAGAATTTGCACTTTTTTATCATCGGCATAATTATAGCTGATACTTATTACTTAATCATTACCACCAATCAATCCAATATGATTTATATATTTGTAATTTTGTATTAAGAGTTATGTTCATATTGTCAGATTGCCTCTACATAAAAAAAAAATATATATTATACTTAAGGGGATTGCATGCGGTCGGTTTTTTCAGTCAAAACCCATAATTTGTATTCCATTGCACAGGCCGAACCAGTGATCCGATAAGCAATCGGAAAATCAAAACCAGATTTGAATTCGCTATGAAGTTTACTTAGAATCGGTCAGGGTACTTTTTCAGTTTTTAATTTGAACCCTTTCCAAATTTAATTTTAAAATTTGAAATTTTATATAATGTTCAAACGTGTTTTATACATAGTAGGAATAAGATATCAAAAAAGTACGCTGACCGATCTCAAGTAAACTTCATAACAAAATCAAATCTGTTTTCAGATTACTTATCGGGTTACTGGTTCAGACTGTGCGATGGAACAAAATATGTATGTTATATTAACTAAAATGGTTTTTACTCATAGACAAAATGATTTAAATATAAAATAATACCATGTAGCTTATACAAATTAACCAGTAAATTAATTGACATGATCGAAAGTGATTAAAACCACGTTTTTCTTAAATATTGCCTATACAAAATTCCTTAAAAACCAACCGCATGCAATCCCCATAATATAGAACATAATAGGTTATAGGTATTTTAATGGTATTGCCAGTAACATTCAAAACATCTATTCATTTCTTTCCTTATTGTACTGTATATTTATTAGCATGTTTTACATATTCTTGAATGTTTCTAACTACATAAATATTATTATAATGTTAAATAATACAGTTATGTAGTCAGGGACCATCAGGCTCCCTCCTCACAAATACTTTTTAATAATAATTTCTTTCATTTTATTAAATATTTTCCTCACATAATAAAGGAAAATTCTGACCAAAATACAGATAGAATTTATGTAACATAATTTATTCAAAAATCATAATATCCGATAATTATTATATGAGATATTTATTACACAAAACATAATATTATGTTTATTATAACAAAATAAGTATACGATAACTCTTAAATACACATTTGCTAATAATGTTTACCTCTAATTTGAGAAAAACACACCCTGGTTTATCAAACATAATTTCCATTAGGCAAGGTTGTATAATATGGTTTAAACATATTATAATAACAGTATAATAATCGATTTAAAAAATTAATGACTGGAAGAACCACTAAATGTCTTTCTTTATAAATTATATATATATAATTATACATGGTAAATCTAAACCTAAAATTACATTATTGCATTTTGATTATAAAGTTAATTTTAACAAAATCAGTCAAGGTATTTTGGTGTTCAATGAGTTATAAAAATTAAACGATTTTAAAAACTCATAACAGAACGAAAATAATTGTACACATTTTCCATTATCTCTACATAGGTTGTCTAATAATTATTTCTAAAGTATTAACATAATTACATTTGTCATTGCAGGAAAATGAAATTCTACGTTAAAATAGCTATTGCGTCATTTTTTAATCTTAATAATTTTTATCGAGCCTCAGTATTTTATTTTTTGATAGACCGACTATACTTTCATCAATGCAAATTCGAATACTTATATTTTATTGGTAACAACTCAACTAAATTGCATGTAAAAGTTACTTTAAAAAAACAATGTATAAAAATAAAATAAACAAATCGAATACATTTTTGAATATAATTTTATTTTGTTGACAATTGAGAATTAGTGTCACAACTGCTTAAGTAAATACAATTATATATTGTCATTTATTTGATATTATTTAGTGTAAATATTCTAGACAACATAATCTACTAGTATACCGTATAGGTATATAATCTGCAATGTGATTGTATGCACAATTTCGATTATATTTTTTATAATAACAATGCTAAATTATAATGACAGTCAGTTAAAATAATTTTATTGTTTCATGCCACATAAAAAAATAAAAGACAATAATTATATTAAAAATTGACAAACAACTATAGTACCTAATGTGATATTTAAATTTGTACACCTGTTGTTTAATAAATGAATTTTCGCTTTATTTTGCCATCTTATTTATTATAATTTCAATCACAAATGACACTTTTAATAGTCTAACAATGATTCATCTGAAGGAAAAGCAATAAAATGTTTAATAAATGCATCTGAATGTTGACGGGTTTATTTATTATAAATATTTACATATTTAATAGCATATGTACGCATTAATTACTACGTTAGATATGGGAAATTATTTCTATCAATAAATTGTAAAAAATGTAATCGAATTTGAACCTTGATCTTATTATAATATTGCCGTTGTTCTTTTTAAAACTAAAATTATTTTCGCTGATTTAAAAAAAATATATATTTTACATATGTAATTATATATTTACACCAAAGTATGTTTGTATAAAAATATATAAATTGTTCATTATATTCTTTTTTGGCGTTAATTTTTATTATGACAAAAAATAGAACTATCAATATGCAATATAAAAATTGATAGTTACACTATACAAATCTACAATTTTAAATTCATAAAATAAATACTTTTATCGATTTGTACGTAAAAGATTATTAAAAAATTATAATATTTTTTCAAATAATATATGAATTTATTAAGGCCGACTATTATTCATAAAATAATTGTGCACAGTTAAGATTTTACAGACGTGATCATATCATTATAAACACACGGGAGGTAATTATTTTTTATATATAAGTAGGTACATTAATAATATAAACGGATTGCTTTAATATTAATTGTATATTTAACGAACAAAACTCTTGATAACATTATTTAATATTTAGCGTATGAACAAGTGGGTTCGGTATTAATATAGTATTTTTAATGTCAATATGATTTAGATTAGACAGTTGTTATAATAAATAAAAAAATTCATTAAAAATGAATACATCAATAATCATAATTTTATTTTTATTTATTTTATTATACGCGTTAAATGCATAGTATGTAATATTTTGCGTTTAAAGTACATTTATGCAACAAAAAAAAAAAACGCGCGCCCGAAGAAAAACTTTTGGACGAGATCCTTCCAGTCAATGAAAATAATCCAACAACCCGTAAACGGATTTGAGTAACAAGAACGCGTGGATAACATAATTAAAACGTTCCTAACTAATATCACATTCTAGGTTCGATGTCCAATTATAATAAATTAAACCGAAATTACATTAATACAAATAATAATTACAATCGATAAACACGTAAAACAAGATCACAATAATGTAAGGGAGGGGTGGAGCCTTTTTTTTTAGGAAGGAGTAAGAGGCGGGAACGACTCGGTTCCAGGGATCAGCCAGGGAGGCGGCGGGGAGGCGTTCTCCGGGGTCACAGGAATGATTCGGGTCCGGGCAATTCTCCCGGATTCATCAGAAACGGCTCCAGCTGAGCCATCATAAGATCCGACGTGGACAAATGCTGATCCTGTTGTCCTTCCCGGGTCCTATGACTTCTGGAACCGGACGTGGTGCTCTCCGACGGTTCGCTGCAGTTGGTCAAGTTGTCCAACGGTTGCATGTGATGCAGTTCTGTAATAATTGTGAATCGAACATGAAATTATGTCGATAAAAATACAAATACTTAAGATTGGCTTAAGATGGTCTACACTCGTTTTTGTTTTTATTGCCAAAACAATTTAGCCTAACAACAATGTTCACGCTCCAACTTAGAAAAAAAACCCGTCTAAATCATTACTTTAACAATTGCACGCTTATATTTGCGATGAACGTTAAACCTATGAATCTATGATCTGATATGGAAAGTAAATAGTACCTACTAAATAGTAGAATAGCTAAACCCAACGGATATACGTTATTGTATTAACTAAGATTGTGTTATAAAAATGTTTAAAAATGATCGTTATCTAGATCATTGCAAAGTCGAGCCCTTGTACTCAAATACAGTCACGTCTCTTGCAAATCATCGCGAATAATAAATTTACTGTAATGACATTTGATTTGGCTTTGAGCCTGATGTTCATTAAAACCTGCGTCGAAATGACTACCGTTAAAAAAACTGTCCCAATGTATAAAAACATTCGTTTTTTATGTTAATAATTCTACACAAAGTATTCTCGTGTACTCATTAAAAATATAATTTTTGAAGTCTAGGTGTTGTTGTATACTTATATTTTATCGGATGCAGAACTATTAAATTATAAAGTCGACTTGGTATAAACCCAAGTCGGTTATATCTGCAGCTCTCAACTTCCTGGGATACTTACAATACAAAAATAGGATTACACCTCATCTAACTTTACAAAGTAATATGATAATTTTTAAATATTTTATTAATAGATTTTGCTCATGGCTTTTTTTTTTCAAAATCACTATTATTGTTTATTAAGTAGCTGTTGGGAGCCGACAAGAGAGACACACTTCATAAGTGTTAAAACATAGTCATAGTGCTTTGCACTTTGAAGAACTTAAAATTTATTCTTTGTAAATGAAAACATCTACACTGAATTAAAAAATACTCACTAAAGTCTTTGGGTATACATAACCCCTAATTCTTTTTGGGGTAAATACCAAACATTTTCTAACATTTAACAAAAAAAAAACTCACTGGATTATTTTGGGTTTAGGTTTTTTTCTAACTTTAACAAATACATTAGTCACTATTACCTAAAACATATTATATTTTTGTGTTCTAAAAAAACAACGGTCTATTATTCAAATACATGATGAATTCAATAATATATATTTGTATGATTTTTCATTTCCGTTAGCCTTTAATAATAATTAAATGGGCATCAATTACCGGTATGTGTCCGTAGAGATATGAGTTTTTTCAAGTCGTGCGCACTGCATAGTGGCGTATCCACCACATAAGTGTTGTTGAACAAACTATAGTTGACTTCGTGTTCTCCAGTCTCTTTTTTGTACGACACCAACGTCTCGAATCGATGTCCCCAGAGTATCTCGTTTGGCAGATAAGAAGACCTTGCCTGGGTCGTCATACCCGTAGATTCGATTACTCCTGTACAAATTACAATATACAGTTTATATCCTTTAGGTATAGTTTATTACTAGTAGATGCATATTATCGTGTAAACACTTGCAAACTATACAAATTAAAACGCGTATTACTATTTATGTAGCACTTAGAACCATTTCGAGCGTACCTAAGTACACATTGACGGTACATATTGACTGCAAAGGAATCAACGGTACTTTCAAACTAATAATAAAAACACGATGATTAGCAAAAAAAAAAAAAATAGAATTTGCGCATTCGTTTGCTTAAATGTTTTGATTTCAACTCCATCAGATTTTCTACTGTACGAATTATTTTTATATTGCTGAAAAAAATGTGTCACTATTTATTATAATAAGTTACAACTTTGTGAAATGATGAGTTGAATGAAAGCTAGTGAAATATACTGACCACCAGTATCATTTAACTCACTGACATTTCACCGCATTTCACAAAAAATAAAAGAAAGAAAAATAGAAACAGAAAAACAGAAAAACAAACAACCAAGTCAAAATGTGCCAAAAGGCAGAACAAATATCTTGTTTGGCACTGATCATGTTAACGCTGCTGCCGAAATATACTCGTATGCACGTTTCAGTATATATATATATACAAATGTATATATACATTTTTTCTGTAGACTGTATTCAAATATTGAACACAAAAATAACAATATCAATACTGTAAATAATGGATTTATCTTAGTCCCTCCTGCTATTAGGCATTTTTTTGTTTTGTTTTGCTTTAATGCGAAGCTGAGGAAGTGTTTATCAAAAGTGTTACACTAACCTTCTAATACAACAACGATTTCGAACTTTTCTTGTAAAAAGTCGGCGGCCGAAAGCATGTACAACGGCGAGTCTGGAGTTATCTTGTGTATAATTGTGGTGGGCCATATAAAGAAAATCCTCTCCTCCACACCGTCCCCGCCTACCCTTAGCTCTTGTTGATGGAATGGCAACAGTTCGCCTTCTAATGTTATCTGAAACAGGTAATTAACACTGAATGCTTATTTATTCAGTTTCACAAAGCTGAAAATGGACAATGATACAATTGTTGTGTTGCTATTATTGTTTTTGAGTACCTATTGTAAAAATGAAATTGAATAACGATTAAACGGAGTAACTTACTCTGTGCTGAGTGCAGTCATAATTGAGACTATATAAGACGGTTTTTTTTAAACCCCTCGAAACTCACAGTACCATTTTTATTTGATTTTTTAACTTATGCTTTATCGAAACGTGTACTCACTCTTTTCTTTATCAATTGCGCTCTTACGTGCGCTTCGATAATGTGCGATTTTCTCATGTCACCCACGCGGAACATAAGACACAGAATGCCATCTCTCTGGCATATCACGGCGTTGCGGCTAAACAATAAAGTCTGAGTGCGCTTTTTCGGCCTGGAAAGTTTAGCAAATACTACTCCCACCATAAAAGCCTGTATCATTACCCCGGTTATACTCTGTAGGCACATGATGAATATTGCCTCGGGACATTCTTCGGTGGTGTGCTTGGAACCGTAACCTAATAATATTACAATCATTAATTAATATTGGTGTTAAGATATTATGTAAAAGCCACCGCGGCTCTCAGTTGGCCGCCTCTCCGCGAGAAATTTTATCTTTTAGTTTAAATGTATTACTTGAAGTACTTTACCGATTGTGTGTTGAGTTTCGACACTGAACAGGAAACACGACGTGAATGAGTTCATTTCTCGGACACAAGGTACCCAAGTCGAATTGTCAGGCCTATCGGACAAGTCTAAATCGCCATGAGTTAGTGCTATGAGCCACCATACGATTGCGAAACCCAGCCAACTCAACATGAAGTTCATGGAGAACACCAACAAAGTCCATCGCCATTGGGCATCGACGAGGGTGGTAAAAATGTCCTATAAAAAACGAACAAACTATAACGGTATTAAATATGGTAAGCCAACTGATAATAGTAAAAAAAAAATAATGACATAGACGCTTTAACTAAACATTTAGTTGGTTCAACTATTCATTTAGTTATGCCGACTATAAATGCATTGTGCCCCTAATCATATATTAACCATAATTTTAGTGGGTTGAACTATACATATATATTTTTCCATGTATAAGTCATGGTTATTGGTATTATAAAATGTTTTTGAATGTTCTACTATAATTATTAGTATTGAGTAATAACTATAACTTGCGTTTCTTTAACTTAACCGAAGGACACAATATAGACTTTGGTTTTGGGTATTTTAATATTACCACAATACACAGCTACGACAAATCAAGGTAATTTAAATATATTTAAAACTACATGTTTCTATTATTATACCTATATACGTCGTGACTATATAAAAAATATGTCATACTATCTACGATAAAAGACCTACACGCTGTATTGTAAAATCAATTGTAAAAAAAAAAAATAATAAGACCCAAGATCATAGTGTGATGACAATTAATGTGCTTAATCATGAAACGAGAAAAATATCAAGTTTTGGCATTGTTTTGTTGTGACTTCATTTTGTGTAGACTTATGTGCCAAATCAGTTTCATTAAAAATTGTAGCTAAGGTGTATGCTTAACGACTAGTCATTGTTGCGGTCTATATTATGAACAGATAACATTGTCATGTTGGCGAATACCTAGATAAATTAATTATTATCAATACATATGATGTATGTGCACCTCCTGTGCTTGAAAAATAATTTGAGCTAGCTGCTAGTGTTGTTATAATGGTAAAAACGTACCTATTGTGAAATGTAAATATAAATTCAACTGAATACTGATAGTAGATTGTACTGCTTAGAAATGTATACTATATCGAATTTAAAGTGAAGAATGTGTAAAATATAGGCAATTTTTTATTGACTGGGAAATGCTGCTCGACAAATTTTACTGATCCTGATTAAAATTTCAAATTACACACAAGGCAAAATATAATGATAGTTACCGCTTGAATTAAACTGCGTTCAACATATTATAATAAGATAATAATTTGTTAAAAACTGAAAGTTCGTTGGATATTTTGCATTGGAATGGTAACATCCCACGCGTCACACACGTGCTACCACAACAGAATAGCCAAAATTCACAGACATTCCAGTTATATATACTGTAACACTAATACTACTATAGGTATAGTGACACATATGCACAATAATACGAGACATTTTGACAACTGAGACCTGTTGCCAAATTTTAATTCGTTTGAATGGATGACGGATATTATTAATTATTTCATTACAGTTTAAATTGTTTTGAAAATTACTTTGACTATATTATGAAAATAATATTCGGTCATAGTAGTTAGCCAGAAAACCATCAGTTTCTGTCATTTTAATGCTTGAAAACAAATAATAATAAAACTCTAAATTAAATAAAGTTAATTCCAAATTCGGGTCTTTGATCATATCTATTTGTTTAACTGTGTATGTAAATTTGTATTTTTTAGTAATCATAGAGGCGGTTTTAGGACTGTATTTAGCATGGGCAAGAGTATACTTTGGCGTAGGCGCAATTTAAATCCCAATTTTTTTGTCTTCACACATCCACAATAAAACGAATTTGGTACGGGCAACTGCCTACTCTGTCTGTACAGATTTGCCACTGAATAAACAGTATATACAATCAAAATAGCAGTTGAGCAAAACTAAGAAAATTTTTGCATGCATAAAAATATAAAACCATCTATGACGATTTTTAAATAATATTATAGTATAGTTTAATTATTGAGAAATAAAGATTTTTCGTTTTAATTAAATTGTGTTGTCAAAGGTTATACGTTTAATCATGTTATATTTGTCAAATTCCTTAAAAAAAAATCGAGCTCATAGTAAATGTCAAAAAATGTTGTTTAAAATAAACGGAATTCTGTAATAGGTTCGAAATTCGTATTTGTCAAAATCATAATAACAACCCAAATTTATCCATTAGACATACAAAATTTTTTTTTTAAAGAAAAAAATTATTTATATGAATGTCAAGAGAATCGTTAACTTTTTTATTCGATAATAGTTATTAAAAATTTACCTGCAAATATTTCCTTCTTCTTTTTGCGACTTTTCCTTGAACGACATTACATTCGCCGTGTTTGAAAACCACTCTTCTGTACTGCCTTCTTGAACTGAATCTTGGCTGTCTATACCTGTTAACAAATATACGACCATTTAACATTTAACTAAATAATACTTATTAAAACACACATTGTGTATTGAAAAGAAACAAATAAATTTCAGGTATTTTTAAAATATTTTGTAACACAACAATAGATAGTAATATTAGAATACGGCAATCAAAACGTTTATTGTACATTGTATGTTTTGAGTTTCTAGTGTTTAAGAGTTATTTTTTATTAAACGTGTCTAAACTAATAATAGACATAATTTAAAATTGAGATAAATTAAGATGTAGATTGATAAGGCGTTCAAGTTTATACTCACACGTCTGACAATTTTGCAGACGGAATAATAACCAACAGTCTTAAATAACGACAATAGGTAACGTTAAGACGTCATACATTGGAAACGTCAAATTCTTTTAGAAAAGTAACGAGATACTTTCAATTCGTCGAACCTTCTTGGAAACCATCGATAATCACCGGACACCGACACAGGCGATGGATGTTTCGAAAAATTCCACTCGTGAAATCATTGTTTGAATCATGGCATAAAAATTCCAAACGAATGTACTTAAGGTATATAAATTACACGCATTATTCCAGCACAAGAGGGGGAAATTTAATGCCATTCTGCTGTTATAGTAACCATTAGTCATTTTATTACGAATCGGACGCCTTGAGCTATTAACGTTATTTGTTAAGCAGCGTTAACCGTGTAGACAATTGCAATTTAAAATAGCTTTTTAAAGATTTTAATACTTTAGTCAATTCTTAACGGAAAAAAATAAATGAGAAAGAAAAGTGAATAGTTTCCACACTGAAGTTAAGAAGATTCTAAGTATTTTTGCAAGGCCGAGTAGTGAGATGCTTTTGGTTTTACTATAATGCATTTTTAAAGTTTTGTCTGTGAGCTTAATTTTTTTCAACTGATGTGACAGTTCAAAAACACAAAACTTTTTGTTTCTTATGTTTTTGGAAATATGTCACTACTCACGTCTAGTAAAAAATTCGTCAAACAATTGTAGACAAGCCAGAAACATATGAAATGTCGAGGTTTTCAAAATTTGATCTCGCATAAAACATTAAAAATCGCTGATGAAATAAAGCATGGTTGGACCTCAAATAAAGTATCGTTTGTATTTCAGACAGCAGTCGATGACTACTCGCCTACCAGTTGGTCGACGACAGACGATTCTATCTCAGTAAAAACCATCATCAGGCTCCGTAATTTCAATATGACTCTGATGACGTGTTCGGTGGATTGATTTCTTTTGGTGATCAAATTCATAATTTAGAGTCATATTTGATATTTCACTACTTCCGTGCAGAAGATACGATTTGGTCGACAGACCAGTAAAAAGTTAAAGAAGCCTTGGACAATGATTCCAGATTGCAAAAAAAAAAAGAATTCTGGATATTATATGTCAATAGAATTTAACGAACCAATCGAGGAACTCTAAATTATATTCAAAGAACCAACAAATGTCTATTGATTCGTTAAATCATTGTTTGTATAATTAGGCTTTTACATATCCTTTTCGGATAGAATGAAATGAATAAGATATGTAGCATATGTAGTTAGAAAACATAAGGATAAGATAAATGAACGTCATAGTTTAAGAATAGGCTGAACAAAGACTATCTATTAGCTTTGTGAGCTGAACAACGCGAAACAAAACAAAATATATACTTTTGGAATCACAATCGCATATCGAATCTTTTTTGGCCTTTGAGTGACATTAGCCGATCCAAAGGTTTCCACCTTCGAACGGCCAACTCAAGTGTCACTAAGGGTGTCATTACGGATTTTTTTTTTATGATCTACACCCCAAGACGTGTCAATCGTTCAAATCCGAATATAATATAAATTCGCATATAATAACCGCATTATTGATAACATTTTGATATTAATAAAAAAAACAGTTATTAAAAAAATGCACGCGAAGAGTATTCAACCGCACAACGGCTAGTCTACAGCGGTATTGGCTCGACGCGAACCGCCGGTTTTAACGGTCATAAAAATAATAACATCACACACAAGACGCGCAGACACATCAAAGGGGGTCGACCTAGTTGACGCTCAAGTCTCAACACTCGATTTATGATTAACCTACAGAGTCCGATATAGGCCCTGCGCCTGGTCCGGTTGCCAAATTGTTGTAATTTCGAGACCGCCGGCTTTGGGGAACGGCGCGCAAACGAGACGGCTGCCCGTGACGCACGAATGTCGCATTTCTGGATGGCGGCCAGGATAGACCGGCACGGGTCCCTTGCCCTGCTTCGGTTCCCTCTTGTATGCCGTTTGCGAGAGTACGAATACATGGCAAACGCATACAGGCCCGATACGACAATTCGAGACGCAAATAAAAACATTATTTCGGGCGCAGCAAATGTAATTAAGAAAACCTCCCAGAGCGTCTGCTGCCGCCGCCGCCGCCGCTCGCCACGACGTCTCCGATGCCTATGCCTCTGCCTCTGTCTGACGAATGCCACGGGCGCCTCCTCGGTCGGTTCGGCAAAAGACGGTGTGTAAACACTATATAAACGGTACCGACAATTCCACACACGCGGTTGCCACTAACCGTATGTGTGTTTACTTTCAATTACTTACGCGTTAATCGGATAGAAACGCCAATTGGTTTGTCCACCAAAAGTCATAAACACATGCATGGACGGGCTGACACAGTAGAATATCAAAGCCTGCCCAATGAACTTACTGTCTTGACTCATACCAGATCCTGTATATTCTGCATCTAGGTCACGAAAAATCAAATGTTGCCCTCAATCGCTATGGTTAAGTATGAACAAAATGTTTTATTAGTATATTTTATAATTTATATATTTCTGAACGATATTCATATCAAAGGTGGTCAATTGTTATGTTTGATCAAAATTGAAATACTGGACGATTTTACCTATCGTAGAACGAATCGCCATAATACATAGCATATTCAAATAAGATAATAATTTAAACTCATGTTGTTGGTGTTAGTTTAGATTTAACGATGATATGTTGTCTAAAGATGCCTATCACATTTGAGGTCGGTATACGATCAAGAATTTCTAATGTCATAAAATGGGCTACTCAACAAGAAGTTTGGAAATGTGACGAATTGGAAAATATTACATTTTGGTGCTAAAATAACTTATACTTGTTATATCCAAATTCCAACTAAAAACACACACTATAGGAATAGACTTAAGAAATTCTCGAAAAAAATAAATTACCTGACATTTTTCAAGTTCAACTGGATACAAATCTTATACGATTTTTATCAATACTGATTTTGGACTTGGATGTTCTCGGTACTTTTCTGGGAATGTATTGTTGATAATTTGTTATATTTACTATTCACAATGTGATAAAACTAATGTGAGTATAATATATTGTCTGAATTGGTATATACAATATAAAGAGCAAAGATCGCCAGACAGATTAGAATATCTATGTTACTTTTCATTTATTATACATCATATTAATGCACCATGGCTTATACCTACATATATTATACTTATTATACATATAACGTGATCGAGTACATCTATTTTCATACTATTGTTAATTAATCTTCTATTTAAGCGTTTGTGAGAAATTTCCAATCGTGTGACGGTAAAGGTACGCATGTTTAGTTAATACTTTATACTCTGAACTCTGTAAATCATGGTATTGTGATTCATTTCCGTTCAATTGATTTTTAAACAATTTATTAGCTTATAACGACTAAAATCGGGGAACCGTAAAAAAAAGAATACACATTTTTTTATAGGTATGGCAAAAATATTTAACGTTATTTTAAAGTTTGCCAATCATAAATGACAACAAAAAAGATACATATTTATTTAATCAATGTGTAACTGCTGTTCATGTTTTGCTGTTGATTACCTTATAAAAATTTCGTTTGGCATCAATTAAAAAAATGCTCTTTTGTAATTGAATTCCAACTATAACTTTCAACTGTAGAAAGTTAAAGCTAATGCGTCAATATACACTAAAGTATACCTCCAATAGACCATAACTTGTATTATACGGTATACTACACACTAAATAAACTGTAAAGATTGAGTTAATTCACAGAAAAAAGAGGAAGTAAAGTGTTGCAAATTCCAGTAGAAATACGCATATGTATAATAGATGTCTTATCAAGCGCTGGAAGCAATGCTTAGTAGTTTTATTTTTAGTCGTGCAAGTAGAATTTTTTTTAAAAATAAGGCATGCATAAACAACAGTGTTTATTTGCGGATCATTAATGAGTATAATATTTGTCACATTAAATGTTATTTACAATATGTGGGAAACATTCAAGTTACGACTTCTGGTGAACAACGCAAAGTGTTGGCCACGGTCAACGACGGATGTAATTTTGTTTAACGGTAGTAAAAAATAAAATAGAATTAACGTGACAGAAGAAAACCGAATATTTTACAATGCTAATTCCAAAATTATTTATCCGACACATGCATAAAAAAAAAAAAGCAGAAATATAGAGAAAAGTATGTGAATAATAGATTATATAGATTTAGCGATGATGACAAAATAAAATAAAAAACAGACTCACATTGGCTGAGACTCTCCATTACACTTGATGCGTTCAGCATTTCTGAAACCAGAAAATTATGGCTCTTTTAAGCAAAGTTCGATTTACCATTTTATCCGGACACGTTAATGACAATAACCGATTTCTAAACACTTTATTAAAAAATACACCGATAAATAGGTAGTCCAAATAAATGTAAAAATATAATAATAAAATAAAAGTTGAATCAATTAAACTCACGACACTCGGTATTTTTTTGGATAGGGTTTGTGCTGTTCGTTTTTTTTCACATCAGTCATATCAACACGTGCGATTTCGTAAATAACAGAATGCTCACCTACAGAGTGATAGTGAGCTCTAAAGTAACTAATGCAGAAATTAAAAAAAAATCATTTCTTAATTCAATATCTTAGTTTCACGCTGAGGGCAAAGGTTTTATTATCTCAGTACGTGGATTCGATATTGTAATCGTTGATAAGAAAATACACTGTTCAATAAAAACTGTGATTTATTAAAATATGCATATTATTAATTCGTTTTTGTTAATAATTAAAAACAAACAAACGAATAATTATTATTTTTAAGCGTCGCGAGGTCAACAACTTCAGGCAAGAAGTTTAAAAAAACATTTGAAAGATGTTATTATTATCGCCGTTGTATGTGTACATTTTTTTATTTTATTATTAATTGCATTTGGCTTATGTGCGTCCTGTTTTGATCTTACCTGTAAACAATTTTCTGATAATGGAATGGTCGATGACGGTTATGAATTATTTCTAAATTACTTTTTCATGTTTAAATCATTTTCGTTTGCATCAATTACGTTCAGCCTAATCTTAGAATATGCTGCTTATCCCTTTATGGTTTATATAAATAAGATAAGACATGGTATAATTTTGTATTAACATTAGAGGTAAATGTACGAGTAAATATAATAACTGTATTACTATTATTATATTGTTTTAACCGAAATTAAGTTATCTCTAGCTATGTATATACACACATAGTTTAACTTCGACATGGAGTTGAAAATATGCTGCAATGTGTGTATAATAGTCAATACCTCATAAGATGTTATATGATATTGAAAACAATACATGAACCATTTAGCTAGCGTTTTCCACATTTTTTACCAGGTAAATTGCATTGCATTGTTCAAGAAAGGCCACAAGAATATGAACATAATGTGTGATGTACGACATAATGTACAATTACTAAAATTTTGTTTGAAGTTAATGAACATTGAATGAATTACATAACAGAGTTTTAGCCGTGAGCACCTTTAGGTCTGAGAACAAGTCGTTTGGTGGCGTTAAAAAAAAAGTCTTGTCTGTTCAAACCGTTCTAGCTTTTTTTTCATCACTTCGCATTCGTTACATCATAACATCACACCGTGTGCTCTTCCCATAAAATAAAAATATAAATCGTGTACTTGGACGATGATCCGTTCAACTAAAAATAATATTTCATGTACGTATGTTATATATATCGGAGTGATTGTCGGTCAAACTGACGGCAGGATGAGAACAGCTGATGATTGATCATATTAAGTGTTTAAATGCACATATGACGCGTAACAGCCGGGCTTCAGGCCAATCACTATCAATCATTTATCATCAGCAACTGCACCATAGTATTAGTTATTTTAAATGACGTCGCTTCGTCTGCTGTCATGTTTTGTTGCTTTTTATCTTTAAAGAGCCGTTGCGTTGTGCTATGTTCGGTTAGGCAGCTTATCAGCTATTCCCAAACGTCTCCCACTCAAACAACACTATCATTATCAGTTTTGAATTAGACACTCCCAAAAGTTGTATGATTAGTGGACTTACCCGACTTAGTCTCGAGCACTGATAATAGTATTCCACAATATAAGTATGGGTAGCTCCGACCAGATGTATGGTTTTTTCATCAGCCCAACAAACATATGCACCACACAGGTGTTGGTAACAGGAGTTAGGTAACACACCTTGGCGTTCTTCTAAATCCTTTGTCGGGTGAGTTGGATTCCATTTTTCTTATTATTGTCTCTAAAACCTGTCTGAACGTTCGGTATGCTAGCGTGTCTTGTATTGAGTCTGAACAGTGTCATTTTTAACGGCTATTCCTTTTTTTTTATACTTATAAAAATTATTGTTCACCCAAACAAAGGAGCACAATGATTTGTGACCGACTGGTCTGATCCCTTAGTGGGCAGTGGGTACCCACGCCGTCGTGTAGTCAGATAGAAAAAAAATACTTCTCGCGTTGGTCTAAGTGTCTATTAAAAGATATAAACAAACAGCCATCTTACAGTATGTTTTTATTTCGTTCACTAGACGAGCGTTAAACGGCTGAACGAAGATCACGGATCATCGCCTCACGCTGCTGTCGTTAAGTATGTGTAAATAGAAAACAAATACTTAACAAACCAAACAAACGCGTACAACAACTACTTTGGACAAAATTAGAAAACGTTTAAAACTCCGTGGACGAGTAGCACGAAGCTAATAAATAATAGCCAATTCGCAATAACGTTGTGATTTTTTACCATCTGCATTATTTGGCAGAGACCCTTAATAACGGGAAGTAGGATATAATAAAGACTTTAGTATCTACACACACACACACACACTAGAACAAAAGTTAGAAGTATAAACATTTAAACGGGCAGAAAGGGGATAAAACACAAAGAACCCGTTTGTAATTTTCTAATAGGTAATTTATCAATGTCATTTTATTTGGCTTTATCTCAGCAATCGAAAAAAATATACACTTGTGATTTATTCAATTATTATGATACCTACACATCATGCTTGGTAAATAATTTTTCATGTTTTTTCTCAATAGTAAAAAAAAAAATCAAACAAACAAACATAGCAAAAAAAAAAATAACGGAAAGCTTGTTTTTAAGTAACTATAGTTTTGACGCCATAACCATATAAACACATAAAACTACATCATATGATGTGTCAGTGTCCAAGTACAAATCGTATACATTGTCTCCCCGTGTTCTTTATAATACCAGAGTTGCACGTGCCTGGGCCCTGGCACTGATCAACATAAAAACGCCATAGGATTTGACAACCCGTTGTAATGTACACAACATTTTACATTTACCTCTAGTTACCGGAGTACAAATAATTAGCGGACTAAACTATTTATAAACGCCAATTATAGTTTTTATATAATTTTTTTTTTTCATTTCTGGCTCATGCATTGGCAAGACCATCAATTACATGTCAACCGCAGACATTTCCTTTTTAAACGACGCAAATTTGTCTGAATTGTTCGTTAAATCTCAATTGCGTAGTTTATGATATTATGTATGCACGTGTTAACAGCAGTAAAGGTTTTTTTTAACAGTTTTTTTATTCCATTATTTTTATTGTCTAAAACCTATGAAACAGATGCCTACACTATGATGAGTAATTGATGGTGCTCGGGAAAAACGAGCTGTCTAATATTTAAAATGTTTAGTATTAAAAAATGAAATTCAAACAAATATATTAATTTATCGAAATGTACTATTTTTCACAAGCCTTTAACGACTGATAAATATACTACATTTAGTAAAAAAATGTTTAGCGTTCGCTAAAACATTGTAACTTCTGTTGTCTGAGCAGACTGATGAACGTTATTGTTATGTCACCGGAAGACCAGTAATGTCTACGACGGTTTAATACCCACGTGCTTCTAAGCACAAAAAAAAAAACTGAAATTATCGCGCGTGTCTTTTGCGGACTACGAATAATTTAACTAGATCTCAAAACAAATTCCTTCGTCCTGACAGCCGACGTCAAAAAAAATTATAATCGATGGCAATGACCTCGCCGAACATCACACACAAAAAACATATATACATTTCGCACTAGTAAAAAAAAAAACATGGCCGATTAATATGATTTTTTCTTCTTCTAAGCGTGTCATACATTTGAATTCCACTTGAAAATTGTCTAGGTTTACTACACAAAAAAGAGCGCTGTCGCGTTTGCTATCTATTGTGAGATTTGAGAACAAACGTTCACCGTCGCAATGCATTCAATCTAAGCTGGCGATACTATTGTGTTAACGACATTTGTTGCATTGGTAATCGTTTATGTTATCATATTATATGGTTTTAATCGACTATACAAATATACGACAAAATATATCTACTTGAAAACGATGTAAAACGTTTTATCAGTGTTCCTTTTTTTTTTAATTTCAAAGATACACAATCACTTATATAAATGAGTTGGGGCAGAGTTGGAGTTGCTGAATTCCGTATTCAGGAATTTATCCAAGGTATGATACATAATAAGTTATACAAAAAGCATAGAGAGCAATAAATCCAAACCGTAATAATTAAATATTGACATGAAAAGTATAATTTGTAGGGCAATAATGTAATAATTAACGGTGTATTGAAAAGGTCTGTAATTGACTATGGTTGACGCCACTCTAGGATCACACATAAGCAAAATTATAAAACAACAATAATTAACTCTCTCCCGGAAAATTAGCGTTTAATATGTCCAGTATAATGTTATTATGTAAGTAATTATGAACACATTGATGAACCACGCCGTTATTAAGTTAAAAAATAATTTCCTATTGATATTATGTTACTGTCGAGATGATTTAAATCGAGATAATTTGCCGTAGCTGTTAACGAGGTAATTGGAAACCCCTAAATACATTGTACCATTACATTTTATAACATTAAAAAGGGGGACTGCGGTAGGTAATCTAACACCACTTCTGTCATCATTATTTTGTAAATGTATCACAGTAACCAGTTTCCGGCTGTTAATGTCGATTGTGCTTACTATATTTTAAGTTTATTGAATTTCCTAATTAAAGTTATGCAATCACGCAAACCATAAAATATCCAGATGTCTTTTGAATAATTATTATTACAATCATAGATTTTATTATTTTATCTTTTATAAAATATGTTCATATCATATTAACTGTGAATTTTTTTTTAAGCTGCAATGCTTTGTATTAGGGTTTTAAATTTGTTCACCGCACTACTAAGTATTAAACTTTGAAGATATTTTCTACGAGAAACAAGTACTTATGTAATATATGTTATTAGTTTGCAATATTAGTAATAAGAGTATAAAAAATAAATATAAACATACCCTTAGGATCTATGGACTTAAGAACTATACTATCCGCTATGGTTAAACCATATGGAGAATGTCCCCATGAGGACTGTAGGACTATTATAGGGTAGTTTCTCCACATAGCACGCATGCCCTAAAAGTTCATAGCGTGTTAAATTTGGAAAATCCGAAAAAATTATTTGTGATTTTATGTCATTTTTAAGGGTGTAAATCGCCAAAACGCCCGTTTAAACCATTATTTTGTATGATAGCCGTCACTACAAAAAGGGTCTTACTGCATATTATATTTCAACTATTCAGAGATACTATTTACCAGCACACAAATTAAGCAAAACTAGCAACTACCTTTGACATGACATGGGTATATTAGCTGTAAAGCGTTGCGACAATAGTGAATTCCACTCGGGTCAAATGGTAGCAATAAGGGTTCTCGCGGACTGACCTGCATTGCGTCTTGTCGTTCTTGTTCTGCGACAGTCGGGCCAGAACAGGTATGTGCCTCTGCAGGGCGCCCAGAATACCGCCACCGGACCGCTGCCCAGGACCGACCAGCACCGTGCCGTTGGGCTCCGTCGGCTCGGGTTCGTCGGTGACGGCCAGCTTGACGGCCACAGCCGTGGTCGGCGTCATCGTCGAGCTGATTAGCTGCTCCCATGGCGTCGACAGGCGACGGCCACCGGCGGCCTCGTACATTTGCCGTGCTGCGCTTGTATCACACCGCCACCACCACTACACAAAGAGCACGCTTCACCCCGACGACGCGGTCGTCTTCGGGTCGCCGGCCATCGTCCGGGTAAGTATTAGGTGTACTTCGGTGGGAAGAACTTAATATGTTGTTTTTGTCAGAAGAGGGGGGTAAAAATATAAGAAAAAAAAAATCAAATAGTGTGCCGAATAATCCAAATAAATCCACGATCGCGGTTGTTTCGTTAACGTAACAGAGTTTTAGATACCTAGATATACGCGCGTCTTCTATCGACGGGTGACCGCCGGGTGATGCACGGATTAACGAGTACCGACGACCCGAGATTAACGTGCACTAATAATGGTGCGGATTCGCAGCAGCCGCCTGTGCCCTCCGCCCCGCACCTTTGCCCGCAACGTTCGGGTACGTTGTTGGTGCGTGCGTGCGTGCTGTAACCGCCGGGAGGGGGGTCCCCGCTTTGGTGAACTCGTCGCTCGCACGCCGCCGTCCCCCTTACCCAACCTAGCACCACGTTTCACGTGGGCACTTCACGGTTATTGTACCGTTTATACAATAATAATAATAATAACAATACTATTATACAGACAAGTATATTATACGACACGACGGTGTTGTAATGTCTTGAGCGGGTATTGTCAAAGTAATATGCTAATGAACAAATTGTGTTGACCGACCCCAAGCGCTATTTCAAGAAATGGCGAGGAGGACAAAGAAGAAGAATAGATATCAAATTAAAAAAAAAAATCCTATTGGAAAAAAAATTGTTACCTACAAGCCGCTGAACGCGTTTCTCGCCTTTGTTTGGCCCCTGTGAATTTACGGTACATATTATAATATCTACATGTATGTATCGACTCACAATATACCACGATTGTCCTAAACAACTGCTCTAGACGCATTGGAAGCTTTAGCATTGTTAAATATATTTGTTGGTATAACTTAAGCGCGATACGTCGAAAATCAAACGGATCGACCTGGACAAGGTTAAATAGAAGATTCGACATAGGTACAACTGAGAACAAGTATTGGGTTTCCAATATTAATAGCTTCGGACCAACGAGAATGGGATTGCTGGGCGCTGGCAATACATCTTTAAAAAAAAAAATAGAAGAATGAGACTTATAGCGGTTACATGCGGTCTGTTTTTTTTTTGACGTTTTAGACAAAAAAAACCGACAAAATGTCGACTATAAATTATTATTATATATATTTTTTTCTATATAAGATGGTCCAATTTCAATTTTGTAAAGATGTACGAGTTCTTTGGCAGCTTTACTAGGTTATGTGGGAAACAGATTTTATGCTTTGTTCATGTAAAAAAATTGTGTTTTAAAAGTGCAAAAAATTGCAAATTTAATTTATTTAATTACAAGAAACTGAAATTTTTAAATAATAAACGGCTTCCTATATAACATAGTAATGTAGCCAAACAACTGAACCTCTTTATAGAATTGAAACTGGACCGTCCTACGTAGTCGACATTTTGTCTGGCTTTTTAGTTAGGAATTAATTGATTTACTTTTTATTAGGAAAATGAAAATGCTCCATTTATCGAAAATAAGACTGTATAAATTATTGGTTATTTTTTGGGCAGTGGATTTTACTGTGTGTAATGAAGGACCGAGAAACCATTTGGACGGAAGAAGGTTGGCAAATGCTCATAGGGCCGCTCCTGTAAATGTTAGATTTTGAGCCCAAAGATTCATACTATTTTCGTGTCTTTATAAAAAAATAAAATAGCGATTATTATTATTTATTTTATTTTTTCTACATCTTTTTTCCCTCATTTTCACAATGGGCCGGTTAGGTGCCCGACTAGTTCCACTCTTGTGTGCGGAACTCGGTGTGCCTTTAAGAAGGGTCCACTGTACAAACAAGAAGTTGTCGGCCAAGAAATATCACATTATGCAAGGTATGAAAATATTATGATTTATACTGTTTAGTATCTGGTGAAAGATTAACGACGTACACGTGTCCTGCGCTGCATGAAAATATAATAATATGTCAGCTAAACGTTCGGCTAATTATTTTCTTTTTCTTTGTAAAATAAACAGAAAATACTTGAGGTCATCTTCAACGCGACTTGTATTATGCGAAAAACTATAATTCAATATCATCTTGACTCCGTTGATGTTTCGTTATACTTCACGTTAACCATTAAATTTTTACTTGATAAAAAAAAAATAACTGCACTGTAAATTTTATCATGAAAGCGCGCTGAGAATATTGATACTATATTAGCATTAACAAAACAAAAAAACAATTCCGACGTCTACCGGTTCTCCGTAAAAAAAAACCATAAAACACATCAAAGGAAATAATTATGATTTATGTATTTATTACCCTTCGCTGTGCGTGTACAAGTTTTCGTAGGAAAATTATCGTAACCAAAATGGTGCTTAGTACTTAAAATGTCTAAAAAAAAGTAAAAAATTTAAACAGCGTTTTAATTTTAAATTAGAGAGTTTTCTATTTCTTCGAAAGGATACCCAATACCCTAATAATAATTACAAGACTTATTCCATTAGAACAAAAAAAAAACATGTTTGTCCATTTTTGTGTTGTATAAAAAACAGTGTCGAGTCTGAAATCCAAAGTCAAAATTCATTATAAAATCAATTAAAAAAAAACCTCTAATGTAAATCAGTAGACGTGTTTAAAAACAACTTTAGATATTGTTAAAAATTGGATTTTAAATTTGAGTTTAATGGTTTTTTCTTGAAAAAAAAGTCGTGACAACCGGTTTTAGCTTACATATAATTTGTTTTACAATAATGTGCTTTTTTTTTTTTTTAATTATAATCTCTTTCTAACTCTTGAACCGCTAATTGCTAAACCGATTTCTTTAATCAGTAATTTATCGATTCGAAATCGTATTTAGTAATTACCTTAAGGTCAAATTTCCGGTTTCAAGTTTATTATGTTCCCTTCCTACTACACAAAATTGTCGTCGATTTTACTTATCATTTACAATGTTATAACCAGCTTATAAGCTACTACCTCATAAACTCATCATTCGGTAATTCAAAAGGATTTTGACTATCTATTAGTATTCTCCTTTCTATACGGTTCCCATTATAAGAACTCTTTAGTCTTTCTTCCAAAAAAATCTGTTCCCAGGCCAAATAAACAAGATCCATACTTTAATAACAATTCACATGAACGATTTATGAACGCCCAATTTGTATAACTTGATTAAATTGTTAACTGTTCGAATACTCAATGTTTTTCATACTAATCATTTTGGCCGATGATAAAACAGATAAGATATTTCGTTAAACGTTATCGAGGGGTTTCAAAGTGCAACTTTCGATAAGGACTGTTATGGATTTTATTAACAACAAAGATCGATAACCTAATTACAAAATGTATATTTTCAAATTGATAACACACTTACACACCTTTTGATACCCTAACGAACCTAAAGTTGTCGTTAACCCAACTTATCAGAACTTGGGCGAGTATTCTGGGCCAGATAAACCGATGAGCACTCCAGGCACAGCGTCTAGGGTACAGAGCCTCTCTAGAGTAACGATAGTAACTGGACCCATTTGGTGGCCACGGTCATAGCAAGAACACATAGTACATTTGTCCAATTTTAGGCCTATTATGTGCCTAGCTAGAGGCCCTACGAACGACTTAATCTGGCCCTGTTAACTTTATATAATGTACATGCACAAAGCCTACAGGCAATATTATATCCATTACCCGAACCCAATTATAATTTGCCAAGTTGATGCGTTTCTAAACTCATGTATAATAATTTAAATGGTCCGTTACCAATACCGGTATTTTTATGGTTTAAATAATTATAATACTAAAACAAAATTAGAAAAAAAAAATAAACGCCTACTAAATATTTGTGATTCGAAGAAAAAAACAGCGGCATTAGGATTGAAAACATTTTGCCTGAGGACCGAAATACCTACGTTTTTTTTTTTAATATGCTTGATAGAGTACCTAAATACTTATGCCGGGTTGCATAAACGTTCACTAAAGTTTAATGAACCAATAGAAGTTTAGTTGATCCTTAAACATAATTTAGTGGCCCGTGATTGGTCCATTAAAATTTAATAAACCATTAAATGTATCAATTATTAATAGAGTATAATATATAATATACACATTAGTAAACTATGATTGAAACGCGTTGTAGAATATTATTATTATCACTCGATTACGGGTTCTGTAAACGAGAAAAACAATGCATTTATCATGTTTTATTTTATTATTATCCAACGATTGCAGTTCAACGACTCGAATTCTGGGCGGTAAACGTCTTGATTGGTTAGCCAAAAACTATCTGCCGATGAATCGATGCGGTTTGTATACAAATCCGACACATCAATAGATACACAATACTGTAACCACTTAAAAAAAAACAACAATATACAGTATGCAATAATAAATTTACATGTAAGATAATAATACTGTATATGTTTATATATAAATGAATATAGTAGCTTTAGTGTCGGAAATGACGTTTGCAAAAAACAATATTATAATTATTGTACAAAGATGTTTTGGAAGTGAACGATTTTGGCTACGGACAAAGATTTCGATTATCAATCAGTTTATTGCCGACCAAATGCGCGATTCTGTTTAGTGGATTTTTTTGTATCACCCAAACCATTAATTATACAATCGTCAAAAATTTGTGATGGCGCAAATAAACGTGTGGGCTTTATTCTGTTAAATGCCGGCTGCGATACACGACACACGTGTACGGTATTAATTTATTAACGTTATTAAGCACACCTTCAAAAAACAATTTTATTAATAAAAAAAAAAAATCTCTTCTGTAGCGCCGGCTTATTTTTAATACACATGTGGGCCGTGTAACAATGATATTGGAACGTCACCAGTTTTGAATTTTTTTTAGTCATGTGCACAACAATAATCCTTGTGTAATAATAATTATAATAATAATGTAATACAAACGTGCGGCGTTTGTATTGTGACCACCGGTCTGGTTTAGTTTTTGTTTGATTTTTTTTTTTTTTTAATTTAACATACGTCTAATATACTTTTTTTTGTATTATTTTGTCACCGCCGCCGTCGCATTCGCGGTTTGGCAACGCGTCCGCGAAAAACGCTTTGCTAGAGATGAACATTATATTGCTCTCTATTTATAAAATTCCCAGTAACTTTTGGCCTAACGTCCGGTTTAACAGTGTGTTTGGCAATTAATACACTATATTATGTTATATATATATACTTAAATGTATATAGATATATGTGTATACAGTGTGATCGGTTAACTATATGATCGGTTTAATCACGTCTCTAAAGATTCATGAGTTCATTAATTATTTGAATTGTATAAAGAAAATTGCGTACAATTCTACTATAATAGTTGGCAATAGGTAATTATCCTTTTTTTTTCGCTTGTAAAAGTAATCAATAAAATAATTTCAAATTTTCAAAAAATGTTTTAAAATACAACGGCTAATACAAGGTATTCCTGTATTAGCCTTTATTAGGCTAGTCCTGGGTACATATTAGATTCTAATCTAAATTCATCTATTATATCTTTTTAAATGTAAATATAGGTAATATGTAATATTATTAGAAATATTTTTGTAACCATTCAACATTATAATTTAAACCGTAATCCAAACGAAAGCTCAACAAATAAAAACTTAACGGTTAACATGTTTACTCAACCATTTTTGAATCGGTACAAAAAATTGTATTGTTTGATTATGTTAATTTTTTTTTTATATTATTAATAAACATTATATTCTTATGACTTATTTTAAATCTTAAGTACGCTAAACTTGCGTTATAATCCTATTAGATTGGGTTTAGTTAATTTAATTGTAAATAATTAGCATACTCCATCATGTATTCTATTGGTATATATGCGATTTTTCGACCGAATATATAAGTTAGTTGTAAATTGTAATTCGTACCAAGTACTAAGTGAATGAGAAAACAAAATTGTTTCCAAAAAGTGTAATTTAAAGTGATCTATAAATCGGCGTTCTCAATTCTGTGATCCGTTGTCGAGGTTTATAGATAATAAATACATTATTATCTGTAAACCTTGATCTTTTGCAGCAGCGTGAAGACTTGGCGAATGAGATAACTATGTTATCATTAAGAACAGCAGGGAGAGAGTGAGTAAGTAAATGCTCTTGGCTAAATGCATATGTCATTGTACACACGGTTAAGCATTTAAAACAACGACCTTATTAAATAACTGACGCTGCGTTGATAGTTTTATTGATATGTTTCGGCTTCAGACACGATAAAAACATAAACAACGCCTACGAAATATAAGTTATTAGATTTTTGTTTTCAATAATCACAATGGGTTAGCGTTAAGGCACTCATTTTTTAGTAATATTATATTTTGTTATAAAGCTCAGCCGACCCTCAAATCTCTACTCTTAAGTATAATTTGGCCTATTCCGTCAAAACACAGTTAACACTGGCACCCATTGAAATGTGACCACGTTATAAGATAGGGAGAGAGAATTTGGCCAACTAGTTCCATTTGAATGGTAAGGCGGTGAAGAAAATGAAGAAAGAATACTTACAAGCATAAAAACTTGTTTGAATACTCTTAGATTCGATCAATAAAACATAAAAAAATATTGATATCTTTATAAAAAAATAGGTAGGTCGTTTATGGGCTAATAAATGTTTTTTAAAAAATGGCATGATAATTTTGGAGTATTAACTTTATTATTTCCTGCCTGAGATATTGTTTAATCGTTTTATAAACTAAGATCTAGTATTTATTTTAGAACTAAGTTAGGTAAATAAAAAGACAATGATTTTTTACTAGACGCCTACTTATTTTAAAACTGCTAGAAATCATTTAAATTGTAGTTTTGTTCTCAGTTAACCAAAATACTATAAAATATAATTTTTTAAATTCTAAAGTAGGTTGAACATTTCTAATAAAATTTTTTTTTAAGCAACTACAATATTTGTAGTTAATTAAAGGCAAAATTTGTTAATAAGATATTTTTGCACAACTTAAAATGATGTACGCTAATATTGTAAAAATAATGTTAGCTTTATCGACTAACCGATACCGTACATAATTTTACCTTATGTAAATCTCGCTATTATATATATATATATATATATATTTACATGTAACACAATGTAATTTAAAAATGTTAATTAGCCCCTATCATTTTAATTAATGAAAATAGGTTTGCTAATTAGTATACTGCTATTTGTCATTATAATCACATATTATATTAAAAAGTACACAAATTTATAAAAATTACCAATTATTTTAGTTTTACAAATAAAATAGACATTTATTTTACATTATAAAATTATATAAGCTATAATTAAATATATTATACAATAATAATTTATAAATATTATATTCATACAAATTTAGTTAAATCGTCTAACAATGTAACAATTAAACATGCTATGCCATTTTAAATTAAAAGGAACTTAAATACTGGATACATTTACCGTAATGACATTAATATTTTGGTTTATATAAAAAATAAACATTAAAGATGATAATGTTTTAACAATACTTCTCTTTTAATTTCCAAACACCTGTCTTATCGGAACATCGGTGGAATGTGCACAGTTCGCTTAGTAGCGATTTGAATAAAGGAGTATCTTCTGCGGGATACTTATCTCGGAACTTGTTTACAATTTGATCTGTATTGACACAATTATCGTTTTCTATGAGATACTGTTTGATTTCATTAAGTATTTGAATTTCATGATGAGTTGCTTCTACTTGACCATTTCGTTTTTTCATCATTGCAATCAACGTAGCGCTTTTGGATAACTGACTCCTATGTTACACACAGTTTTACTTTTTATACTTAAACATATTAAAATATTTTGTTTTTTAGCACTCACGATTTGTCAGAGTTGAATAACAATCTGGGTTTTACTGTTCCATGAGAACCAGTCCAATTTAACCGCCCCGACCCTGGTTCCCAACATTGGGCCCTGGAGGCTTCCAATTCTTCAATAGCTTTTTTGGCTAATTTTTGCGCCTCGTTTTCAAGTAGAATAACGTCAGAACGTGTGGATTCGATAATTCTATCATGTCTCATAGCTGCTTTTACACCTGTAATTTAAAATAAGAAAAATAAATAATTTTATGCAAAACTGTAGACTGTATAAAAACTATAAAAAGTATAAATCGTTTTATGGAGGGTACCCGATTTGTTAAATAATTTTTCAAGAACATAATCGTCTTCTTTTTTGGATGAACTTTTATCAGCGCATTGTTCTTGAAAAACATCACATTTCACTAAATAGGGAATCTTGGTTTTTTTAATTTTAGCAAGCACATCTGATGAATCACTGTGTTTTCTTTTTGAGCAACTTGTTAATGAACTGTTCCTTTCAGTTTCCTTTTCTTCCTGACTTACGTATTTACTACAAGTAGCAACACTTGATAAGTCTAATGTGACAGAAGAATTTCCATTATCTTCTACCTTGGATACTAAAGGTGATGGCGATTCCTCTGTTGCCTCAGTATTATTGTTACTATTAGTCGTGGTTTCTAGTGGTACAGATAAATTGTTACCAGTAACCGTTTTAGAATTTTGAACAATTCTGTTACTAAGCTCTCGAGCTTTTTGTTTCATGGCTTCGATTTTGTCTTCAGTAAATGAACAGCTCATAGATAACTTTTTAGATTTTCTCCTTTCACGGCGAGCTTTCATTATTTGTTTTAATTTTACCTAGAAAAAAAAAAGAAATTTTTTTTTATATTGACTTTATTTTACCAAATTAGTGCATGATTTGTCATTACTTCTGATCCAGTCCCGGCAAATAAATCTGAAGTTTCAACAACGCCATTGTCGTCAACATCTTGAAGTGTAAAAAGTTCGTACAAATAGTTTGATTTAAAAAATCGTCTCTGCTTTGGGTCGACTAGTACTTTGTTGGTTAAAAATTGTTTAAAAATCTGACGGTGATACATCTAAATTATTTAAAAAAAAAAAAAACATTTTTAGTGTATTCAAATAATTAACATTATTTCTTATATTATAGTGTTAATATAAAATATACTTTTTCTTCAATTGTTCCGGCAGTAAGTAAACGATAAATGGTTACTGGATTTGTTTGTCCTATTCTCCAAGCTCGTTCTCTAGCCTGTAGATCAGTAGCGGGATTCCAGTCTGGATCATAAATTATTACACGATCAGCGCCAATGAGATTTACTCCTAAACCTCCAACTTTTGTCGTGAGAATCATAATAAATATTGATTGATCCTATAAATAAACAATACTTCCCCTTTAGTGAAATAAAAACCACAATACATCATATTATAATAATTTATTTTAAGTAACCTGGTTGAAACGGTTGATAATAGGTTGACGTGAACTAATTGATGTTGTCCCTTCTAATTTCAGGTACGAATAGTTTTGTTCGGTAACAAAAGATTGAAAAATATGCAACATCTTTATTTAAAAAAAAACAAAGATTATTTAGATTTATTAAAAAAAAAAACTTATTTTGGTTTAAGATAAACATCAACAAACCTTCACACTCTGCGTGAAAAGAAGAACTCTATGGCCCTGTTTTTTCCATAATTTAAGTAGTGCTTCAACAACAATCATCTTACCAGACTTTTTCCAATGACCATGAGGTCCAGTATCCTATTAAACCATTTATCTATTTATATTTGTAATTAAATAGGTATATTTCAATTAAATTAATTACAAGATTTTTGTGAAACAAATCAGGATGATTGCAAAGTGTTCTTAAACGTGATATACCAATAAACACTTTACAGTTCCCATTAATTATTTCTGGAATCAAATCTGAATGTTCGAGAAAATTCTTATACAATGTTTTTTGTTCTTCGGTTAATCGACAAAAGAGGACTTGCTCGTTCTTATCAGGTAGTGAAATGTGAGATTGAATATCGTCTTTCATGCGTCTCAACAAATAAGGCTTTATAGTATCCTTGAGCATTGAAGCACACTTATAAGCGGTGGTTACCTATACCAAAAAAAAAAATTAAGATTTAATAATAAGAAATTTAATGAATGTTTATTAATAATTAATATTATTGTTGGGAGTATAAATAACTCCTGTAATTTTTATTCGGAAATTAATACAAATTTTCATTTATCATCATTTAAGTAAATTAATAAATTAATTTTTAGCTCAGCATCAAAAACATAAAAATGTTTAGATCAAACTTTGGAAATTTTAAATTGATGCTTGCCTATTATTTAATTCATTAATATAGTATTATTCATTAATATATATTTAGTCTTAGTTTTCACCCAAACTTGGCGCTTGGGCATTAATCAAGTTAAAATAGTTGTTTTCGGTAAATTCTCATAAAATGGTACACTACACGATCTAATAACTAATGTCTTATTAATATGTACCTGTAATTCAGAAGCATTTGCATAGCCGCCTTGGGTAATTGGTACTGAAAAACTTTTAATGAATGCGGGTAGAGTCCCAAGTACACTCGGATAAATGAAATCAAATAAGGACCACAGTTCTTTTAAATTATTTTGAATCGGAGAACCTGATACTATAATTCGATGACTAGACTTTATTTGCTTAGCTGCTACGGTTATCTGTTTACAATTTTTATATTTATAATATATATAATATTGAATTTTTTTAAAGTTCAACATTGTTACTTTGGAATTAGGATTTCTAATTTTATGCCCTTCATCGAGCACTAAGTAATGCCAATCGAATACTTGTAAATCATCAAAGTGTGTAAGGAGTCCACTGTAAGTAGTGACCAAAACTCCTTTGTTGGACCAAATATCTTTGATTAAAGTTCTTGGCTTGCCTATAAGTTGAGTTATTGGTAATTTTAATACAATACACTAGTACAGATCATAATATAAACAATCTTAAGCAAATACCTTTAAATACGCCGGTTTCATGTAAAATAGCTACACGAATTGGCGGGCACCACTTATGAAATTCATCGACCCACTGATGTAATAACGTAGCAGGACAAACAATTATGTTAGAACCTAAACCGCGTACGTTGGTTCGTCGTTCTTTTAATCTACTCCAATACAGAGCTCCAAAAAATACAATAATTTGAATAGTTTTTCCCAGGCCCATTTCATCTCCTAAAATACCACCATAACCGTGTTGATGAAGTTCCCAGAGCCATTTAATGCCAATTCTTTGGTATCTGTCAATGGGAAAATTAAATGCTATATCAACAAATTTGTACTACGGATAACAGGTTTCAAAATATCTACTTGTATAATTTTTCCCATAACTCTTTAGGGACTTTAAAGAAATCTTCATCGATGAAGTGAAAAACGTCATCATTATCGGTGGCTATTTCAAAATTAAATTGTTCATACTCCCGTAATCTCTGCTGATAGTTTTCTTCAATTCCATCATCATATGTTTTGTACCGATCTATAGTTAACAAATAAATAAGAGTTCTATAGTATGTGGCACTAATTATTATGGTAAAATAAAATCAAGAAGAAATCAAAGAGTACTTGTTATACAACATTTAAATTAAGATAATATATATTATTATACATGAACAGAGGAAAATAATGGGGTCAAGGGTGATCCATCTAAATTAAATGGGATACCTAGGAATAGAAAAAGTTTATAGGATTTATAGTTTTTCGATTAACTGGACTAAGGAAAATATTTATAATTTATTTTACAGTATTTACTTGATGAGTTTTTTCTAGATTCAAAAAATTCTTCATCAGAATTGACATCAGAGTTGTCATCTAGTAATTTTATTTTATTTTGTAGACTAATTTTCTTTTTTTTTGAAAATTTTTCTGAATTTGCTTCGTTTTCTAAAAACATTATTAAACTTAACTCTGGTTGTATTTTATAGTGACTACACTATTTGTTACCAGAATCTGTCGATGGAACATATTCACTTCCGGAATCATTTACTTTTTGTTTAATCGGAGTCGTAGCCGGCGTTTGGTTTTTAACAGGAGTTTTCAGTTTTTTTTTATTATGAAAAAATCTATTTTTTTTTGGTTTTTGAACTTTAGTAGATCCAAGCTTTGATTGAGATAGTAAATATTTCTGCAAAATGTCTTCAGAGCTGAAAGATGTAATATTGAACTGTAATTATATCAATGCTATTGTCGTGTGACTATTGCAGTCAGAATATCATTATACCTTTTAGCACTTTCGTGCAACGAGTCAACTGTACCAAATGGCGTCATTTCACCTAGTCTTATTTTTCGTTCATTCTCAGTCTCTTCAATTCCTAAGCCCCCTAATGTCTTTGTACCATCATAGTTATTTTCAATGGTCCTACTATCCAACACATCACAATCAGCCACCTGTTGCAGCACTCCTTGTTCAAAGTCATTTACATTGTATACAACTAGACCTCTTAGGTCTTGTAATTCTTTGGGCTACATAAAATATGGATAGGTTAATTCATATAATACTTATTACATAATATATCTAACAACAATTACTAAACAGTACTTGTTCATTTGTAGGGATAGCTTCTATTTTGTTTCTATTAATATTGACCACTCCTTTACTGTTATTGTAACTATCTTCTATTTCCATGTTTTCTAAATTATGATTGGATTGCAACTGATCCAACGATTCCATTTTAATTTACTGAAAAATAAATAAACGTAATTCGAATTTAAGTGCTTGCTATTGTTTTGAAATTGAATAGATTAAATTAGATAAACAAACGTACAGAATAATAGGTAAACATAATATTATCATCAACAAAAAACACTCGCACTGATAAAACTGTTTTTTACCAAAAATAGCATTTGTTAAGATTTAAGAAGGAACATCCCCATTCACCAATTACAAGTAGGTAATAATACATTTTTAAAATAAATTTTGCTAAACCAGTCATATGTATTATTCTATTATAGATTATTAATTATTTTCTGTTAAATAAATAACATGTTAAAAACAGCTCAATACAAAACAATTTACTTCTCGTTTTTTTAACAATTTTTTTTATTCTTAACATGTACTTTATTTTTTGAAAATTAGTAAAATAATTAACCTATTTATTTATATGTTTATAAATTAATGATAACTGAATCAGCTACTTCACGATTGCAACACAGATTTTTCATACGTTCAATTATTTAACTTAACTAATACATATTCTGCTTAATATTTTATTTTTTAATTAATTTAATATTAATAATTTTACATGTTGCAATATTACTACGCAAACACTAGTTGTTTAATACTTTTGTTCATGTTAGCGCGCTCTTGAAGTAGATGATGCAATTACATGTTTTGTTTTGTAAAATAATAAAAAAACCTATTTTGTAAAAAGTATTACTTATTTACAAAGTACCTACATTTTTAGGTTTACAAATGACAACAACAGCTTTTAATGACTACAAAATTCTTTTTTTTTTTAATAATAATTCAACAACATACAACATTAACTATAAAATATAATATTATTTTTTTACAAGTTTGAAAAGATTTCGACAATTTTTCATTTATACTAATTACATTTTATAAAAATCAAGTTATTTAACAATACAATAGTATTGAACACAATATTTATGATTACATAACCAATTATTTATTGAAAACCCCTATTTAAAAGTTAGAAATTTGAATGAGTGAATTGACAATTATGGCATTTATTTTATACAAACACTTTGCAAATGTAAAATTATAAATCTTAAATTAAATTAGCAAAAGATCTTAAAACGAAATATGGCAAGCTTGCTTATGATTAAATAACTCAAAATAAAACTTTGAAATTTATTACTAAGTTTACACTAAAAAAAATGTAAAAAGTTATTTAAATAGATAAGTTTTATTAACAGTTAAAACTTTAACAGGTAATATGATAAACAAATAAAAAATAATAAATTATAATAGTTTGCTAAATATAGATTTGTATGGTTTTATAGAATAATACTTTTCAATTACTTAGGATAATTTGTAATCGATTAGTGTCAAAAAAACGAAATAAATATTTTATAAATTAAATGAAAAATCTATCATTTTTGTATTAAAAATTTCTAAACATAATATTAATTTGTGTAGAAATTATTTGAATAGAAAAATAAATAAAATGTTGAATTGAATTCAGTATTAATACCTGAGTAAATATTTAAGCCAAATGATAAGGGCAATTATAAAACAATAAATATTACTATAAATCACTAAAGAAACACAAAGCTGGTGATAAGCAAATTTTTATTAAAGATATGTGTATCAAGTAAATGATTTTAATAAAAATGTATGATATAATTCCTTATTGAGATTCAAGATTTTGTATTTTAAAATAATATCTGTACATCTTTAGATGGACATGACTACAAAATTTAAAATGCATTATGGATTATAACGAGATATACAATTTAAAAGAAACGTGTTAAAGATATAATATATGTATTATAAAGTTCTTTGTATATTTTTCTAATAATTTGCACTGCAATTTTTATTCAGTTGTTCCTGTCAAATAGGATAAGTATGAATAAAATTGAATAACTAATACTAAAAATAATACTATTGATGGTAACGCGAAAAACAAATGAAAATTTGGATATTGTTCTAATTCTTTGCACTTTAACATAACTTGTTCCAACTCATTTTTTAAAGTGTTTTTCTCCTTCACACATAAATCATATTCCATACGTATTTGTTCTACATCATTATCTATTAATTTTGAATCTTCTTTACTCTCTGTTGTGACCGAACTAACATCTTGAATTGAATATCCATCTGTTTGTGAATCTGGTAATGTTTTATTTTCAATGTCGTCTTTGAATGTTTTTGATTCAATTTTAAAATTTTCTGAGTGTGAAGTTTTGCAATCATCTAGAATAATATTTATATTTGTTGAGTTCTTAAAGAATTCAAGATATTTTTGGATAGTATCGGGTATAGTGCTTAAATTGCTAGTGTCAACAATAGACATACGATACAAACAGTCTGACATTAATAGAAGAATGTTATCTTTGCAAGAAAGTTCTCTTTTCTGTCTTTTTATGGCCAATTCTTGATTGTCTAAATTTTTTATACAATCTTGCGAAACATCCTTGGATTCTGAAAGTCTACGTTCAATCTCCTCACATTTTTGTTTATAAAATTCTGTTTGAATTTCAATGTCTTTTGAAAAATCTTCAATGTTCTTTAAATCATCTTCATTAAGAATAATCATTTTTAGTTGTTCAGGATCCATATTACTTATTTCTGTAACATTTTTATCTTTAACACATTTCATCAATAAATCTCTATTTAAATCTAGCTCAGTTTGCAATTGACATACTTGATTTTCAATATCTGACTTTTGTTTTATAAGGTTTTTCATTTGATTTTGTAATGAGTTTAATTGACTTAAACAAGTCTGTCGATCTTGTAATATGTTAACTACATTTGACATTATGTTATTAAAATATTCATTTAATGAAATATCCTCAGTAAGTTTGTGCTCATTTTGTAGTGTTAAAAGTAGTATGTTTCTAGTATTAACTTCATAATTCATTTTTTTAACTTCATTTCGTAACTGTTCAACCTCATCACATCGATTACGAAAACTCGTTTCTATTTCATTTTTTGCTTCATTAAGAGTTTTTATTTGTGTTTCAAAATGTTCTTTAGTGACATCAAATTCTTTAACAGTGTTCTCATGGTTTGATACTTCTGTGTTAAGCTTGGCGCACATATCTTTAATTTCTGTTTGAGCATCATTAAGATGTTTCATTAAGGCACTTTGTTCAGTTGTGGAATGCTTCAACAAGTTTTCCAATTCTTGACATTTTTGCATCAGTTTTAATTTGTCTTCCATTTCTTTTTTTAAACAGTCTTTAGCCATCCCTTGGTAAGAGTATTTGTATTGTTTTAGATCACATATTTCCTGTCTCATATCGTCTTCACTAACATCTTTTTTGTAATATTGTAATTGGTTTTCCAAGAATTCAATTTTAGATAAAAGACGATCTTCTGCAACCAGAGCTTTCCAACTGTTATCTGTTTCTCCAATAATATTCGATAATAGTTTTTCTAAACTTAGTAATTTATTTTCTAAGTTGGCCTCCCTATGCAGTGCTTCTCGTATATAAGCATCAATATTATACAAATCTTGTGTAGAAACATCACTTATGAAATTAACAACAGGATTAGATTTTGCTTCTGTGCCATCAGCATAATAAAGCTTTAAAATTGCTGTAATACAACCGTGAGATATGTTGCGAGCATTTTCAATTACGTCAACACCAAATTGAACTACATCGCCACTAAACACTTCTTGTGGCTTAGATTCCTCACCACTCTTACTCAGTCTATGGTTGTTAACAAAGGTGCCATTACTACTTTTTGTGTCTTGCAGAAAAAATTTGTTATTTTCGTGCCAGAGCAAGGCGTGGTTTCTTGATAACACTTTGCAATCAAATATTCCATTATTTGGACTGACTTTTGCTTTAGCAAGTAATCGGCCAATTTTCACAGGTTGGTCAAGTGTAAGGGTTCGCTCTTCAAATGGATGTGAATTTGCACAATATTGAAGAATTGCCTTACAAACAGAACCAGTCACAGTTTTTGTATCGTAGCTCATGTTCTCAACTATTATGGTTACTTGTCGTACATTATTACTATTAATTCGTTTCTTTTATTTGTATTATAAAAACTTAAATGAGAATTACTTTATACTTAACCTGCAGTTACCTTAGAATTTATACTAAATTGAGTTTTTCAAACAACGCACTACTGTTTGTATTATTTACATTTACATAAATAAACATACATTTTTCAAAAAAATGTATTAAAAGTTACGCGCAATTTACCAAAAACTCACTACTATGTACTGACTACTAGAAGAATCATTATAAAGAAATAAAGAATACACAAAATAATTACATAAATATTATCGATGAACAAAATTGATAACGCAATTGTGTCAAAACATTTTTTCATGATAGAGAAAAGGAATGTTACAGTTTAACCAACATCACCGACAAGAAAGTATCCATGCCTACTGCAAATCTGATACCAAGTTGTTTTGGTGACGCCGGCCAATGCAAAATAAATACATCGCGAATGATTGAAAAGCTGCATATTTATTTTACTATAAAAATTAAAATTGAATTTTTAATTTATTATATACTCTGAGATATAGATGTAGAACACGGTTTAAAGTTGCAAATCTTAATTCATAACAATCTGCCTACATTTCCATTAACTATAATAGTTTGTACTTACTTCTTGAGGAGAGAAACGTAAATTAAACCGCAGCTATGGGTAAGCCATTTAAATCTAATTTAACGTTATTAATTTATATAAAATATGGTATAAACACAATTGTTTTAATTTTTGTTACTATCATTAAAACAATATTTTATTTCGTTTTAGCTGTATCCACAGGCATGTCGTTTTTGATCTCTACACTGTTGGCGTTGTCACTATTTTCTGTAATGCAGCTGAATAGCAAATGGTTGATATCCAGTTCTGCTCATGTCATTGGCACAGGCTTTCTAGGATCAGTGCTGTTTACATTATCTTTAACTGTATCCTTTAAATATATCAAACACTTCAGGGCTGTCATCATATTAATAGAGTTTAAAATTGAATAACTAATTTTTTATTATAGATGTAAAATAGTTTATAATTGCTTCAATTACTACACATGTATAGTTGTACATTAAACCAAACTAGTAGGTCATATTACTTCTATTAATGTTTAAAAAAATTTACATTATGAAAAAAAATCAAATGTGTTGATTAACTTCTAAGGTTTACCACTTTTATAAATAATATTTGTACTTCAAATGTACTCATTCCTTGACGTTATCGTACTTTTAGGCTGTGAGCAATTTAATGACCATACTTTTAGGTGATGGGTATCAAGCAAGTTTGTTTCCAGAAAGTAAGTAAATGATTAAAGTTCAAGTATAACAGTACTGTATTAATAATTAATCGATTTCAAACAATTTATAGTTTCCCTGTCGTTATTATTTACATTTATAACGTGTGCATCCATACATAGAGTTTGTGCAACAACTAGGTAAATATCAGAGTAAATATTTTTAAAATCTAATTTGTAAATATTAACTTTAATGTTTAATGTTTTTGTTGGCAGCTTGTTGTTTTCTCTGTTTGCTTTGTATAATATCTACAATATTTCACAAAAGACATACAATTCAAGTTCATTACTTAAAACAACTGTTGTACAATCCAAGAAAAAGAAACATTAAAAATATACATTTTTTTAAATTGTGGTAAATTTAGTATTTAATACATAACAAAGACATTCTAATTTTTGTACATTATTATTTTTCCATTTATCTTTAAGAATTATATAAAAAGTCATATAATTGATTTCATAACTAATAATTTAATTAAATTTATAACTATTATATATTTATTTATATTATATTTACCATTACTATATTTATTTTAAAATTTTCAGTAGATATTTTACATTTTTATACATCCATAAATTTTAGTTTTGTTTATATTGAGATTATAATTACAGTACATGTAGATGTTGATTTATTAGTTGAATTACCAGAGGCTGAAATTAATAACTATTAAAACTATTAACATGTATTACAATTGTCCGTTAAATGGATTTTTCATTTGCATTTTCTTCTGAGTAGTATTTGATAATTTGGTTTTACTGTTCTTGGTTATGTTCATCAAATAGTAAGTATTAAAATACTAAAAATATGATTGTAATTTTATTAGTTCAATGAAATAGCTATGATTTTAAAAATGGTTTAAATTCTAAAAAAAAAAATATATATCTTTCCTAAAGATAGATTAATAAGAATATTATAACAAATCTAATTTAAACATACATTTTATTTTAGTAAGATTAGTATACCTTATGTTGGGATTAAAATATTGCGTTTAATATTAACAAAACAATCTAGAATAATTAGTTTTACTTTTTCATACAGGTCCTCAAGAAGTTGATATTAATTTAAATTGCACCATTAACATTAAGATCTATACAAATATTTTATGCATTAAAAAACAGCACAGTATAGGTATACATGTATAGAACCTTAAGGTAAATAACAATATTTTAAGTAAAAAAAGTTGACAAAAAATAGGGTTGTTAGGCATTGTACTTGAGCACTAGTACTTTAGCAGCTAAACTAAAAATAATGTCTTAATTATTTACATATTAATATTAATTAGTACATATTGGAATGTCTTGCATTATTCACCATGGACTCAACTTTATTGGCTGTATCTCTTATGGCTTCTGGTAACTCGGGTAAGTCCAATGTAGTGGTTAAATGAGCAGATAAACGTTTGTACATAGAATCTTTTTTCGATCTACTTCTAAATTTTAAAATAAAATAGATAATATAGTTTATTATTTGAGCAGCATACAACTAAAATAGTAATATTATTACTTTTTTGAGAGCAATGCTGAATGCCAACATACTAACTACATATATTTATAAATAATAATCAACATTAATCTACAAAATGAGTGTCTTTGATACACAAGCAATCCTACTAGCAAGTTTGATGATGTACCATTATTTACTCGTCGAAGGCTTCAATCTACGTAATATAATAAAAAATAAAAAAATAATATAACCAATTTTAAAATTGTTGGTTGCCGTGCAGCTATATAATATCTTTTATAAAAACTAAGCATAAATGTTTTTAACAAGAAGTATGAATGCATTAATAAATTTACCGTCTAGTATGTTCATATTTTATTTGTTGACTTAAAAATAGAGCATTTTTTAATTGTTCTTGAATGTTGTTTAACGATTCTTCGGATTTTTTTATCGAGTTTATGGCTCTACATAAATAAAACATACAGAACACAATTTTATATTAGAAAGTATTACTAATTTAAAATTAAAAGTTGTCTCACCCAAGAGCATATTCTACATCATAATAATGTCCTTGTAAATCTTTATGAAGTTTTTGAACTTGAATTCTTTTTTCTATCATTGGAGGAACAGATTTTCGTACATGCTCTTGAAGACGGTAAAATGCTAACGATGGTTCATTAGCAACAAAATGCAAGTTCTCGGACAAAATTTCAGTAGCTATAAAAAAAAAAAAGTAATTAATTGTTCTTTGTTAATAAAGTAATTTAACATGAAATTATACCTCTTTTTGATTTTGTCCGTAAATCTGGATCATGACTCATATTATCAGTTATTTCTAAATAATGCTATTCACAATTAAGAAAAATAATTATTAATTTTATAAATAATAGTCTATAAATTAGTTATTATAATAAAAAAATGATTAGTGCTAATATTGTCGAAAAACAGTAAAAGTAGGTAACATAAGAAATACGAACACAATAAAATAAGGCGGAAGGAACTTGAGTCTTAATAAAAAAATATTTATGTTTCAATCTCAGAATAGATTAATATATAATATTATAATCTATTTATTATATATTATATTAGAATATTCTGTGTTTTAACTCAATAAATTTAGTTTTAACAATACTGTAATAGTTTCGTTTTGGTTTTATTTTTGTGACTAGTTAACCGTGATAATAGATAACGAAATTACTGATAATAAAATTGATAAGAGGTGTTTTATTATAAGTGATAACACCGTGGCAATTAAATTTAAAAATGATATTCAATTATTACAACTACGATTAGTTATAATTACTACAAACTACTAATTTAAAGATTGTTTTATTTAATATTTTTTAATGAAAGTTTTTTTCATTTTTTTCTGATACTTATTATACAAATTAGTCATGACTGAAAAAGTACTGTATATTGTATCCGACTACATTGAGTGGTATGAGCCTGTTGATCTCGTAAGTTAACTATAATTCATAGATAATTTTTTAATAATATTACTTAACCAACGACTATTTTATACTTCTTGTTTAGAAAAAAGTGTCTAAAAAACCAGCTCACAGTATTACTGACTATTTTGGAGCGTTCCAGTATTTTCCCTATTTTTCTGGACAGCCATATAATCCTAAAGAACCAGTCTGGAAATTTTGCATTGGTGGGAATGGGCAAGTGCTAGCTGTAGTTCAACAGAGTACGCTTGAGATGCGTACAGAAAAACATTACAATAAAACTCTAGCAAAGGCATCGTGTAAGTAATAACAAATTAATTCAATTCAATTTAAGTAGCACATACTTAAATATTTTTTACATTTCAAAATATTGGCTAGTGTGATGTATACTAAATTCATAATTTTTATGTTTAACGCTTATTTTAGTGCCAGACATTATTGCTGATGATTTATATCCTTCAAAAAGGATATTGGCATGGAGTCCAGATTGTTCCATTTTTGCAATAGCAACTTCCCAAGCTGATATTGCATGTTACGACCTATTAGCTTCTAATTTATTTGTAATAGAATCTGTAAGTCCGATTTACTTAAAGAAAATACTTAATAAAGTAAAATAATAAAAATGTTTTGTTTTGATATTTAGTATACTAAAAATATAATGAAAATTATACGTATTCTTTAGGCATCCAAAAATAATAAACAATCACCAAACGATAAACTAGCTAAAGAAATGGTATTCTTAGATCTTCGTACAAAATCATCCAAATGGTAAATATTATAATATAGCTAATAACTATTAGTGTTAACTAAAAATAATGTTTTACTAAAATAAAAATTGTGTACTGTTGTACACTTTAGGTCGTACGAATTAATTTTAATTGGTGGAAATGGATCATTGACTAGTTATGCAGTTTCATCGGTTTATGGTTACCAAATCCAACATACATTTAATTTTATTCAAATTCTGAATGCTTCTCTCTTAACATCTGTGACTTTATGCTCTGATCCAGCTTATGTGGTTACTTCATCAGACGTACATAATAAATTAGTAAGTAATAAATCCCTAAAAGTTTAAAGTTATACTATAAATTCATAATTTGTTTAAAATTAAACTGTTCACTAGTTTTAAACATGGCTTCAATTTTAATTATTTCAAAAAAATATTTTTAGGACTTAAATGATTCCGGCTTAAATGTATGGTCGATGATATCGTATGAACCATATTATAGTCCAGTTTTGGCTTCTAACATTCAACAAGCTGGATTTATGTCTAGACTAGTCAATGTAATATTACACAGACAAAACGTAAGGGACATTATACTACCCCGCATGTTATTTCATAACCTTTAAACCTCGTAGTTACTAAATTAAGTTAATAATTATCAATTTATATATTTTTAGAAGTTTATTGTAAAAATGAGTTTATCACCTTCAGCTGCAAATTTAGCATGTTTGTATGGAACTCAAAATGTTTGTATTTGGAACTTCCCAAAAATAACGTAAGTAGTTAATTAATTAAGTCAAAGTGTTATTTATTAGACTTTTTTTACTATTAATGACATTTACAGTTTGTCTAATGAATGGTGCATAAGCGACCAAAAAGAATGGGGTGGAATTATAGATATTAGTTGGTGGTGTGATGAGGTAATATATTATCTGGTTATTATTTTGTTACTAATTTTATAACTGATTGTGTGTATTATTGTTTGTTTAAGATTTTGATTCTGGGATGTTTTGATGGCACATTGGTTGTATGTAATAAAAATGGCCAGCAAAGTATTGTTAACACTAAAATGAATTCTACTTTTTACAAACTATGTGGTACTTATAATAGTGATAATTTTGTTGTTGCTGATTTTAAATTAACAGAATCTTCCAATATTTCACAGGTAATTTGTATTAAATCTTAAATATTATACTAACATAACTCAAAAATATTACTGACAATAATTATTTAAAAATGTAATAATATTATTATTTTGATTAGATACATACTTTGATAAAAGGTTATATTATGATTTGTATATTTTGGGATTTTTTTTTAGGATGCATCTATAATTGCTAAGCCAGTCACAACATATATGTATAAACTCATAGCCGTTACTAAAACAACTCCTCAACAGCTATTGATTAAGAAAGTAATAACTTTTTTCAACAGTACTACTTTGAACTATTAAGTTGAACAACGTTAAAAATTGTTGATTATAATTTTTAATATAATGAAAGTTATCAATCTGGTTACATAAATAGTTTTGTATGGTATTTAATTTTAAAACTTCTTTTGAAGTACTTGTTCAAATATATTTGATGAACATATTACAATTTTATTAGAAAAATGTATAGTAATGGTAATAAGGTTAAAATAATCTTTCTTTACATTGTTTTTATAAGTATTAGTTATAATTATTATGTATTAGATTCAACTCAAAGAATACGAAGAAGCATTGGATCTAGCAATTCAATACGACTTGGATAAAGATTTAGTTTATAAACACCAATGGCGAGACAGTTTAGTTCTCGAAGACACAATTACAGGCATTTTGGTATTATACATTGTTATCCACCTTGTGTTAAAAATTGATGTATTATTTTTATTTTTGTTAAAAAGAGCAAAGTATCAGATAAAAAATGGATCGTTCAAGAGTGTTGCTACCGCGTTTCAGATTCATTGCTCGGTGCCAAACAGCTGTTAGAATATGGTTTAGAAATTACAGATTTTTCAGCTTATTTAAACATAGAAACAGGAAATTGCAGTATGTTAAAATTTTACTTATTTTTGTGGATATCACGGGTGTTTTATTTGTCATTCTAGAAACATCTGACTCGATAAGTGAAATGGGCAAGGAATTTGTGACGTCAAGGTTAAAACTTTTGGAATACACGGATAAACTATCAACTTATGAAAAGATTTTACGAAAAATGGAAGGAGATAGCAACTCTCTTTATAAAGCACAGACTTATACAGATTTAAGAGATCTTAGTCCTTTACAGTGGGCAATGCAGTTAGCTCAGCAGTGTCAAGTAGATGCTGTTTCAATTGTTATTACTTATTACAGTGAAAACGTTCTCCCTTATTGGTTAGATGTGTTGTCTGAATTTCCAGAAACATTAATGCCAAGACTTTACAGGTAACATTATATTAACTGACATCCAACAATATAAGGTGTAGTATTTTTTCTAATAAAATATTTTTTTTAGACATCTGTTACCAGTTTGGGATTCTTCCACCAAGCAAGTCCTGGTTCCAGAGTCAAAAACTATAAGAGAACTTGATTGGTGTGAATCTGATCGCTTTAAACTCCTGACAAACACCTTTCAAACTGTAAAACCGATGTTGTTGACTGAGAACGATCTAATTTTTTGGTATACCAAAAGAATAAGAGATATTGAGTCAAGCACTAAACTGGTACAACACACATTAGAACTCGCAACTATTGCTATTGAAAATAATATTAAGGTATTTTGACTTTTAAACCACACCATAATGATTATTAAAAAAAAGTGAACACAAAATTAGTTACAATTGATTTTCTAGGAACTAGAACAACTTCACGAAGACTTATCTATATTAGAAGTATTAGTGTATGAAGTAGGGCTTGATTACATGTATTTGAAAGATATCGAACAACTTACTACTCTAGAAAAAGCAAAACTTTTCATGTTAAAGGTGTGTTAACTATATCAAATTTTATATACTTCCTATTATTATTTGTTTGATTTGTCATTTAAAACATTTTTTATGGGATTCTAGTTATCTTTATTATTGTTTTATTTTTTCAGTGTGATGAAAATAACTTTCTACATCATTTGTCAAATTACTTTTTACCTTATATACAATCAAAGCCTAATACTTTTTATTTATTAGAACAGTATTTAATTGAAACTAGTCAAAAGTCGTTGAAGAAAATAGCACAAGTGAGTTTTATTGCAATTAAATTATTTTAATCAAGATTTAGGCAAAATTTAGATCAACTGTTAAAATAATATTCATAAACAATTGAATAATAAATGATTAAAAAATTATGATTCTTTTATTTATTGCTTCATTTAGATAACAATAACTCTTAAAAAATACCCAACTTTGATTTTAGTATATATTTCAACATTTTCAATTTTAATGTTTTTTTAGTTTTTTGAGTATACTCAATTAAATGGTTGGTGCATTAGTGGTGTGACAGACGAAGCAAAAATTTCATTGGGCCTCTTATGCATTTATACTTACACAGAAAGTGATCAGTTAGACGAGGCACTATCTATTGTTTTATCACTTATGAAAACAATCAAGTAACATTGTTTATTAGTATCAATGAATAATCATTTTATATGTAAAATAACTTATTAAAATGTTTTATTATTATTATTAGAAACACTACCAACAACAAACCACATATGGATAAACTTAACGACACAAAACAAATAATAAATGCGTCAAAATTATTATTGACTTACGGTATAAATTATTCTCTGAAAAAACTTCTTGATAATATAAGTGACCCCAATTTTTATCGTAGCGTCATGATCTCCGTTTGTGATTATACATCTATGTAAGTCTTGTAACATTTTTGAGTGTATCTATGATACTTAAATTGTGTTGTGTTTATAAATTAGAAAAAACCAAACGGATAAATACTGGTCAAACGTTCTTGGAGATTTATTAAAAATAAAAGAATTGTGTTTTTCATCACTTTCTACTGCAATTTGTTATGAGGTAAACGTACAAATAAGTTATTTCCTCTAAGTACTCTTCTAAGCTTTAAATATTTTTAGGAATATGCAAAAAAATTGTTATTTAGTAATGATGAAAAAATTATGGTACTGTGCACAACTATTTTAAAAGACAAATTACCAGATGAAATATGCTTACAACTTATTAAAGATACATTTGCCATGTACTTTGATCGATCAAAATCATTCAACGATTCAGTTATGGGCTTAGCAAAGTATTTGAAAACTATTATTTAATATATTAAACTTATTCAACCATTTAATCTATTTATGATTTTAGATTATGTTTAACCATTGTACCCGATATTGATGAATACTTAACTAATGAATGGAATTTTGTGACAGCTATGACAATATTTAACAATATAGGCACTAAAATACTTCCAATTCAAGGTAATTGATATTTGTAACTTCCATGTATTCTAATTTATGATCATATAATTACTTTCAGTTCGCAATTGCAAGAACAAGTGGAAATTGATCGATATAAGTTTATCATCGAAGCCAAAAAATTATACATTATCAAAGAAGTTGGTCACGTTAGCACATAAATTGGGAATAACAGTTGGAGAAGACTTTACAAACATTGAATCGTGTATTTTGTTTAAATGCGCAATGATGGCGTACAATGTATACACACTATTCAAATGTTTAAATAATCAAGAAAATTACAACTATTATTGTTACTTGTTTCCTAGGCAAATGACATAAAGTTTGCTTCAAAAACTTGTGTTCAGTTAATGGAAAAAGACGAGTCACCAGTTTGGTCACTTTGTTATGAACTGGGAAAACAGCATGAAATTATTGATATTAATTTAAGGAAAAAAATGCTATCGTATGCTGTGCTTAACTGTCCAGCCGATAAAGTGGTCTCCATTGTCAACTTACGGTAAACAACTATTATTATTAATTTGATTAAATCATGTTTTTTATTTTTTTATGGCAAATTAACAAATACATTAAACTAGACAAATATAAATCCCTTAATTATATTTGCCTGTTATTTTTTTAGAAAACTATTAGAGGACATCGATATTGCACATAATTTAGATAACGACGATTCTGAACTAAAGCTACCTAAGTAAGTGTATTGAAAAATAAAGGATTTCCATAAGATTAATTTATTGTAAAAATCTGTTTTTGGGTTTAGAATTGAGAATTTAAATTATTTCGCTGTTTCTAATTATGAAAGTTCCATGCATTTTAATTGTTCAAATTGTGTTGAAGTAATGCCATCTCGTGAAACGTTGAAGTCAAATTTACACGACCTCCAGTTACTTTGTAGTAAAAATGATTCTCCCAATAACTTTAATAAGGGTAAGTCATATATTATTTATTTTTTTATTTCTGTATTGTTATTATTTTTTTTAATTTATTGATTTTTTTAGCCTTAGCTATTTACGGCTTTAAATGTCTCGGACACGATTCTCAAATGTCAATATTGTGCTATTTAAATATAACAAGTGACGATATTGTCGATCAATGCTTTGAAAATTGTAATGGGATTTTGAGTATAAAGTTAGCGTTGTATATTTTTGCGTTACGTTACGCTATTCAAGTATTCAAAGAAACTGAATTACTCCATGAGCCAACTGATCGGGTATGCTACTTTACTAAATGTGAGTTACATTCAAAAGGACCACCCTAATCACATAATATTTAACCTTTAGCTGATTAAACGGGTAATGTCGCATTTGGATAATGTAGAACCTACAGAACTGGTCCTTGACGTTGTAAAATACATACGTAAATATGCTCTGTTATATAGTAAATGTGCAAAAAAAATAGATTTAAATGTAAACACAGAAGATTTAAATAAAGAACTAATTAGAATGGCCAAGTGAGTATTGTTCAATTACTTATATTCTAATTAGCAAGTTGCAGGGGGTTATTTACAGGTGGTGATCAGAGAGATATAATTTTTATCAATGTGTTATAAAAAATTTGTTTGTTTAATAGAAAACTCTTCTTGATATCATATAAGTTTTGAATAAAATATCACAAAAAAAAAAAGGAAATTTCATTATAACATTAGGTAAATTATATTATAATATTTTTTTTAAAAGTATAGCAACTTGAATTTTATTAATTTTTTTTCACCTAACGAACATACTGTTTGTAAACATTTCTTTTCCTCAGTAATAAAACTTTTAAAAATGGATACAAAATTATTTTTGTCCAATTGAAACTTGTAAACAACTAAAAATGTAGATAAACAAACTGTAACTAGTTAACAGATTGTTATGTTTAAAGAAAAAGACTTGGTTAACATTTTTTTGTCGAGCCATGATGCCATAAGATTTACATAGGGTAGCTAAGGTAGAATTTTTTTGTTGAATATCAACAAAGAAAAAAGTAGAAGATAATTGTAAATACGCCACTGGCAAGTTGTATAACATGTAGTATATATTTTTTATCAATATGGTATCAAGTAAAAATAATTTTTGCGCAAACTGCGTTACATAGTATTTAGTTTTGACAGATATCTGAGTTTTTAAAGTTTTTGTTCATTTAAAAAAAATGTGTATGTTTTTTTTCTCTGCTATATATTTTCAGTCACTTGTTAATATAAACAACAAAAAGCTAAAGTTGCAAAACTTTATTTTTAAAAAAAATTGGTCTATATATTTTATTATATGTAAAAAGTTTTAACAAGTTCAAAAATGTATATTATTTTATGCAGTTTGCATAGACCTTTTTTTTTTTATGAAAACTTCCTATCATATATGTTTTTTTACAATTGAAACTTAATGCAATTTTTAATTTTTATATAGAACCGGTAAATTAACAAACTTGGAAAAAGCGTTAGAAATATGTGATAGACAATCGCTGGACATAAACGACAAGCTGTTGGTAGAATTTTTGAAATGTTGTTTGTTTACTGTATCGGCAAGAAAGCTAGAAGAAAATCTTGAACTTCTAGAGTTCAATACTTTAATTAAGAACACTGAAGAATTTCATAGCAGTATAGTGTCAGATATTTATGAGGACATACCGGGTATCAACCATAATGTATTGATTGCCTATTATACTGCACTTAATTTAATTTATCCCGATGATCGTTCCCATTGTAAAGACTTGACTCCAAAAGAGCATATAAAACTGTTAAAGAGAGTACACAGCACAATTCCCGGTAAGCTTTTTTTACTTATACTGAATTAATAAGATATTAAATTAATAAACATTGTTATTAATAACAGATATCGACTACAAACTTTTATTGAGCCCTGATACAGCATATGAAACATTTAACGTGGCACAACAGGCTGGATGCAGTGGTCCAGTCATGAATAGGTTGCTGAAAAGTTTACCGGATAATATACAACAGTGTATAAAACTTTCTTGTTCTGTGAGATTTACTTTATAGTTAATACATAAATAAAAAACAACTATTTTTAACTTAAATTACATATCTTCTAGGCATCATCATCCATGTCTGATATTAGTCAAGAGAGTTCGGATGTCAATCAACTATTTCAAAGAATTGAATCTCCGGCCGATATCGACAAGATTGTAAAACTATTACCACAAAGCAACGAGTAAGCTGCTGAAATATATTATAACTTATTAAGGCAGTGTATACCTAATAGTTTTATCAAGTATAGTTGTATGATTCATTATATTTAGATCAAACGGATTATGGGTTGAAGCGATGAAGCGGTTGTTAAGTATTGAACCACAGGAATACAAAACATCAATTACGATATTAAAATATACTTGCAATAAACATACATTTAACAAAGAGGTACATCATATTACATAAAATATATTGTGTTTATTTTTAGAATTGTAAAAAGTTTTGTTTTGTTTAGGAATTGGAGAATCTTAACGATGTTCCAAATGTAAACAGAACTTTGCTTTCTTTATTGTATTTAATATCTGGCGAGAGTGCTGTAGAAACAATGGCTGTTAATTATTTCCAATCTAATCATGTAAGTATTCGGATAAGCAAATTTATATTTTTAACTTTACTACGGAAAAAGGACATTCAAGCTCACGTCTCAACTCAAAAAGTTTAGGACATAAATTTCCATCGACAATAAAATTCCCGGCTACTAAGAACCCTTTTTTACCCCTTACCATGCGATCACAAGGGCCAGCTACAGTACGATTAAATATGAATAAGAAAATTAAATTTTAGAAAAATGTTACTTATGAAATTGAAACACTTTGTTTAGGATTTACCTGATTTAGTGTTGGACACAATTCTTGAGTACGGACTTATGGAGCAGTTGATTAATTGTCGTGAAATAGTTGAAAATCTTTCATATCGAGCATTGACAGGAAATAATAAAAAAAATTGCCGCTTAGTCTGCGAACAGTTGACTTCTAACAAACAAAACCAATTAGCTGGTGCTTTGTATTTGGCACATAACGGAGTACCCGCTGCTTTGAAAACCAATGTAGCTGCAAGGGAAATAGCTGAAAGTTATTTAGCTAGAAATTCTAAAGATAAATAACAAAAACGGTTCATAACTTTTATTCTTATGTACAAACAAATCTATTGTTGGAATTATATTTTTTTATTTTATAATTTTATTTGTTTTAATATGCTGTTAAATGTTATTGTTTTTAAGTCAATCAAAGGGTATCTCAAATTGTCACGCTTATTTTTATTATTAAAAAATATATATATATATTATAATATGTGATATACATGGTAACTATGTGTTAAACGTAATTTGATTACTATCAGTTTAGTAAATTAGAATATATAATACATGTATTTATATTTTGTTCTATATACAAGTGTTAAATGCATACTTAAAAGTATTCAATACTTAATTAGTATTATTATTTGGTCTAAAGATTTCAATGTTTTCACAATATATTTTTATTAAAGTAAAGTGTCAATGTCTTTAATAAGTCTTTTGTTTTAAACACATTTTGCCAGGATCAGATTTATGAAATCAATACTCACGGATTAACACAATCAAGTACCTAATTAATTGTATAACATAAACTATTGCTAAACGCGCTAAAGCTCTTATACATGATTCATATTATTGTGTTGTATAGTACTGTACATCGCAGGTGTAATATTTATTTTGTTCATAGTTCAGTAGTTGGGTAGTAGCTACTATACCAAAATGTGAAGTATCTACGTAGGCTCGTTTAAAGGTAAACAATTGGTAGATGGTAGACACTTAAAATTGACTTTTCTATCCTTGCTATATGCCGTCTGCGATACTGGTTCTAATTATAAGCCACGTGTGTTATAGTATATAAATCCTATTTATAAACATATATCATCGGTATGGATTACCTACAGGATATATGAATAATTTAGGTACAATCTAAATTAAGAGTATAATATACAACAGACACAAATGTCTACAGTAGTATACAAAGTATAAACATTATTAATGGTAGTTCTTAATTAGATAGCAAACCCAGCATCAAGGATACATTTGAGGATGGATGGAATGATTGAAACGAAACGGGAATTGAGTAAAGTATATTGTAAGAGTAGGGTCGTTAATACCCATAGAGGATAGGAAGTTAAAGAGGATAATTTTGTGGGACAATGAAAAAGAAGATTAGGAAAATCACCAATGGATGGTAATTGGTAGTTCATGAAAGACGCAATGTTGATAGGATTTTAAAGAGACGAGGAAAGAGAAAGCAGGAAGAAGGTTGTGTCCAAACCTTAAACGGGCACAGGAAGATATTTCTTTTTGTGTAAGATGGAGACTATGAAACCATGGCCTGCTGGAGAGGATAGGGCAGATCGACCTATGCCAGGAGTAAAAGTTGGGAAGGGAGGAGTCCTGCCAAGCCTTTAAGGTGTTTTTATTGAAATCTGAGAGAATGTCGGAACAAGGGGTGGTAAGACCGTGAGTGTTAATGAAAGAAGCGGTTGGGGTGTCTAGGGTATCGACAGTCTCGTTAGTGTCCTGAGACCCAAAGAAACTGAGGTGTTTTACCAGAGGAGGAGATACAGGACAGAAGATCTCTAATATTAAGGATAAGAGAAGACAAGCCCTACCGATGCGAAATCTACGAACAGCGACCTCGCCTTAATTACTTCGTTTTATTACCTATTATTATTATAGGAGAATTAACGTCAAAAATCATAATTTATGACAAAGTTCAGGGTATAACTCGCATGTACATAAACTGGAGATTAATTAACTACAATACCTGTAATTCAATATAATGCATTATACACAATGATACAATTTGTATGCGTCAACACACAAACGGAGTCAGTCAAGTCAAGAGCCGGCCGGCAGTTTTTATCTTAACAACATGAACGACATGAAAGTTCACACGTCATCTAATAATAGATATCTTACTACAGTGAAATAGTATAACGCTTAATAATTAAACAAACACGGCGTAGTACACTAATGTACCTATAGGCACTAATGTGTTTACCGTTTATGATCTTTTTTATTTTAGTGTTTATATTTGTGTTTGTTATACATTCAGATAAAACAGGCACTGAAAATCTGTGACCTTCCTCACTGCTCTGTATCAACATTAAATTTGTTATTATATCCTTTTTTTAATTTCCGTATAAATCTTTAACCGGTTTTTGCTGGGTTTTTACGCGACTACGCATAGTATAGTAATTAGGTTCGTGTTTTACTACATGTTAACACTTGGTTTCTTTGGATAAGTACACGCTACACATCTTGAATACTATCAACATTCCCTATATTATTTGCAATGACGGCAGACGGTAGTCGTTTGGTGAATGCGATATTTTAACCATTGCCGGTGAATAGGATTTCATTAAAGTTTTTCAATTATAATCCGACCAGAAATCCGCTCATTGCTCAACCAAAAAACGAAGGTACCATATAATTATATAATACTTTTATTTTTTATTCAAATAATGTACTACCATATAACTACATACTCATTTTCATTTTTCAAACGTTTGTATTTTTAAAATTAAGAAAATATATGTATATATTCAAATTAATAAGTAGGTACACAACAGTATTATAATGTAAACAAAAATTAAAACGTTCTTATTAAAAACAAAGGTTGGTACTTACACTGTATTTAACAATTTGTTGAAATATAATATAGAAGTGGAATATTTCAACATTGAAAACTTGAGCTAATTCAATCGTTGTTTCTTTCATTTAAAATGGTACATTTATAATTCCATTTTAAAATCAATTCAGTTTAAGCATGATTTGAATTTAACTGGAAAATAATTTTAAAAAATAGTTCTTCACTAATCTAAACTTATGTTATTTAAAAAATAAACTCTTTAAATTAACATGGATGATTTTTGTTTGCTATCTCTATGGTATAATTAAATCACGAAATCGTAAATAGGATTGAATTTAAATTATTTGTTTAGTTTTAAAGCATCCGGTAAGCACGACTGCAAAAGGAAGATCACTCCCAATCAATATATAATATTTTCCAACAATGTACAAACCGTAGTAATGTTTTGTATCTTGTTTGCTTACATTTAATAATTACAATGTTTTAGTGAATAAAATACGTCATCATGCTGGACTTTTGGCTTTCTATCGTGCAAAGTTTATTGTTATTAAATTATGCAACCGTAAGTGGAAATATATACATTATAATAATATGTCTACTAGTTTTAACGATTATGAAATTTAACTATAACAGTAGCCTGATAATATGATAAGAATTAAAATTAATTAGAAAACTACTCAATTTTGAATAAAATCGATCGGTAACATACTTTATGTGTATTTCAAACATTATATAACTTAACTGTTAGTGTTAAAGTTGCCAACAATTTTAAGTTGTGGTTCGGGAGTTGTTTGTAAACAATTAGTAGTATCGTTAGACTCTTTTGTTCACCTTTAATAACATTGATCTCGTTCGAAAGTCCATTGACGATAATAGCTTATCTATTTGTGATCGTTTATAGCGTTAATAGCATTCACGATAGCCGAATAATGTATTGTCTTGTACTAAATACGCGTGTCTTCATTGAATAGGCGATATTTGGTACACATCAGTTTCGGCCTTGACTTGGATTTTGTTTTTAATTTGTCTACAATTACTCTTTTTTAAATAGCTAGTGTAAAGTCTTGAAAAGTATTTTTGTTTTTAACGCGCAAACTATTTTTATATGAGAATAACATAATATATTATTGTATTTTGTTGTTTGAAAACGTTTACAAACGTTGTAGGCTCACAAACCGGTTGTCTACTCGGTTCAGTCTCCTCGGTCGAATGCAGATTACTATAGAACATGCGCCCCGCGTGTCCGGTGCGATCCGCAGTCCAAGTACAGGACATTTAATGGATCTTGTAATAACTTGGAACACGCTTCGTGGGGTTCGTCTAACACGCCCCACCTCAGGCTGGTCGACGCGGTTTACAACGGCGGTAGGAAACTAGATCAATCATGATGTTGGTTTTTTTTTAATACCCCGAAAACCATGAAAAATAACACGTTTGATCAACACAACTAGTATAAAAGATCCATAAAAGACCTCAAGTGGTTCGGTCGTATTGAAGCTGCTAGTGTTGAATTAAACTGTTTTTTTTTTTTGAACAGGAGAACGAGAATTTCGCAAACAGGTCAACGGTTTGCCGTTGCCTGGACCTCGAGAACTGCAAAACAATCTGTTCCAGGACGTATCCAATAGCTGGTTCGACGATTATAACGTGCATTTAATGGAATGGGGACAGTTCCTCGCCCACGATATAACTCTTATGCCGCCAGACGGTTCGGGTAAGTGCAAGAGTTTTTTTTAAAATTTTTTTGAAGTCGTGAATTCGAAATCACCGTTCAATAGCAATATCTGTCTGCGCATTTTAAAGGACCCGCAGACTGTTGTGCTGTACAAAATCAGTTGAACGCTATCCCGTACCAATGCCGAGCGGTAATCAGAATACCCAAAGACGATCCAGTATACACGCAAACCAGAAGAAACTGCATGCCCTTTAGACGAGCAACGACCTCGTCGAGTTTCAATTGCGCGCAGTTACCGAACATATTTGTAAACATACTGTAGTGCTATATAAACGCGGTAGATCATCGATCGAGAAATTTACCCAATCTTATTTATTTGTTCCAGATGGTACAGACTTCGCAGTACATCGACGCCTCGCAAGTGTACGGATCGAACGACAGCATGGCGGCTTCGCTTCGGACGTTTAGAGACGGTCGACTTAGGTCCGAGTTGGTACAGAATGGTCAAGAGTTTTGTCCGCAACGCAGAAGAATGTCTTCGGTATGTGACGGTCGGCAAAACGTCGGCGTATGCTACGATGCCGGTACAACTTTCACCAGTATAATATTATCCCATGACTTATGAGTGTACTGGCAGGGACGAGAAATATAACAATATTTGTTTTAGAATTAAGTGGAAAATTAAAAAAAAAACTTCCAACAATAATTTTGATGAATAACTTTTCTGCCACTCAGAAGACAACACAACTTATGTATAGTTCGAAGACAATGTAAAAAATCCGAATTAATCCTACACCTGTCATAGGCGATATATAAAAATTGCAAATTCAGAATTTGGTATTACAGCAAATTGTTATAAATAGTTTGTTTAGGGCTACTTATTGGTTTTGTCAACGTTTCGAGTCTTACATCTTCTATCGTTAGTACTGTGTTGTTAAGGTTTCCAAAACGTTAGCAAAGTTAATATGGTATAGGTGCAACTGTAAACTGTGTAAATATTTTGTTGTTGATAACCCAAACGTCTTGACAATTACAAGTTTTTTCCGTTCTCCTAGAAATATATTTAGGACCTGTAGTATTAATTCAACAATTTCTTTTTGGTTTTCCTCAAACTTCGTACTATCAAGAATGTACTGCAACTTCAACTAGGGTTTTTATTCAATTCAACATTACAATGGTCATAAATATAGATTTCAAACAATATGTTGAGTCCTATATCTATTTTTTGTTTAATTAGCTGGTATAGTAATTTAACGTTCTTTTAGGGGATCCTCGAGTTAATCAGAACCTTGGAATAGCATCATATCAAAACGTATTTTTGAGATTCCACAACTATATAGCGACTCATCTACAAGCAATTAACCCACGATGGTCAGACGAAATCATATATCAGGAAGTTCGCAGAATTATCGGTGCAATAATACAGATAATTACTTACAAGGAGTTCATACCGAGCGTGATTGGTAAACTATATTTTTTAATTAATTTGACACGTGCGTAAGGAGTTTCACATAATTTTTGCGGGGTTTTCAATTAGGTAAGAGATTTAGCGAAGAAGCCGGCCTGTCTATTTACAATAGTAGGACGGTGTACGACAAAGGTCTCATGTCTTCCACGGGACTTGAGTTTGCGGCTGCAGCGTACAGAATTTTGCATAACATCATTCCGACTCAATTAAAGTAATTTCAGAATTATACGTGCCTTGATTTCCACATTTAGTAATTTCAATGCATTTCATTTTCTTCTATGTAGTTACATTGACGAATCTCACCGATATGTAGGAGCGGTCAACATAACAGATTTTATGAACATGCCCGGCCAAATCCAAATTGGGTCCAACCTGGAATACTTGCTGACTGGTATGAGTGAAACTTCGGGTCGCAAGAATCAACCTTCGTACAATAACTTGGTGATAATAAAATAAATCGCAGGAAATATTTTACTTAAATCCAATTTGTAGCCCTATTGACGAAGCCGCTGGTCGTTTTTCTTAGATATCCAACTTCATGTTCCATTTCAATACGCCTGATACAGCTGACTCGAGCCTGATAGCTACAGACATACAGAGAGGACGGGACACGGGTCTACCTCCGTATTTCGTTGTCAGGCAACAATGTAAATTATCTGCAGTAAAGAGTTTTGAGGACCTGCTTGCTATAATGGTGCCGAATGTAAGTGACCATAGAAGATTCGACGGACTTAAAACTATCCTAAATAACTGTTAAAATATAATTGATAACTACGTATTAACGAATACAAGTTACATGATTTTATAATTGTATTAGCCTTAGTGGTTGCCGCTTGGCTTTCTTTTTTCAACTTAAAGATTTAAAGTTTTTAAATATAGTATAGTTATAAACACTTTAAAACTAATCTAGTATTGGATTTATACTTGAACGTATTGACTACGGACACAATAGCTAATAAATTACCAAACAATTGAAGTTGTGAGAATCAAAAGGATACAAAAATTTGTTCTAAACAACATGATAAAACTTGTATTTATTATGCGTGTCCTTAAAGGTGATGTGCATTCAGTCTTTTCAATATATTCTTTAGAAATTTAAGAAAAGGGGTAAACCAACGAAAGCACAAACTCAAAACTAGTTATTTGTAATTTTTTTTTCTTCTCACAACTTCAATTAAACATCATAACGCTTTACAATTTTATAAAATACATTTTTTATTTCTACATAGGAAGCCAAGCTATTGAAAAATCTCTACGCTTCAGTCTATGATGTTGATCTAGTAGTGGGAATGTTGTTGGAGATACCGGAACAAGGTTCCATGGTTGGTCCAACGGCCAGATGCATTTTAGCTGATGGATTTTATAGGTTTAGGTACGCCGATCGTTTTTTCTTCGATGTACAAGGACAACCAGGCAGTTTCACACAGGGTACATTAAACGCTATGCAGTATTTAGTACTAGGAAAAACGTATTAGTGCAAAACCACTGATAACTTCTCAGCTTTCATGGCTATAAATCTGCGTCTATCATTTCTTTTTCAGAACAACAGGAAGTATTAAAAGGCATTGATGTAGGACATATTTTATGTGTTACCACTAAGATGCGTGAAGCACAAAAAGAATTTTTCAGAGCTCCTGGTCACGAGTACGTATAAATTTATTATTATTTTCAAGCAGTAGCGTCATTTCGGGTTTTACTGAAAATTCACCTCTCGACAGTTTTAATATAATCATAACAAAATAAGTTTACCGCCATCTACAATAAGTGTAATTCCCATCCACTTCTTTGTCCATATTCAGTTAACTCAAATTTCGAGGATGCTCTTATAAAAAGTGACTTGTTTGCCAACGTTTCGGAATTTCTACATTTTTTATCTTCAGGGCTAGATAGAGCTTTCGAAATAATGGCACAGGCAGTCGACTGACAAGTCATTACAGTATATTATATTAATGCGAGTATCCTCAATATATGCAAATAGTGACAATTCATAACTCATAATAAATCCGATACAAGTTTTTAGAAATTCATACTTATAATATTATTTATATTGTTATTAGGATCTACTCGAAGCAAACGCTCAAATGTAAGGAGGTAAAAAACATGTCAAATTTCAGTGCATGGAGATCCAATACAAGAAATTAAACATCTCCTTGGACACGATTTTTGATGTACATAACGTATGATGTTGAAATACTCATATTGATGCTCCCAAGTTATTATGGATCGATGATTTATAGTTTTTAATAATTACAATTTGGTTTTATAATGATGTGTTATTTTTGTGTGTCTAAAGACATGATAACTTATTTCCTGTGGACCGAATTACTCGTGTAGCATCTCTAAAGATCCGAAATCATATGCGGCTGGTACTTAGGAGGGTCAAAAGTTAATTCCTCGCTCGCCGGGCCGCTTTTAAAAATGCCGTCGTCCCAGTAAAAGCAATCATTTTGATAGCTGTTATCCATTTTTAAAAAGTCACAAAAAATAAACAAATAAAATTAATTTCTAAAGATATCATTGTGTTTCATTAGGAATAGTAAAAGGCTTAAAGATAATATTGTTTTTTTACCGACTTGGCGATATATTGCTTCTAACCATTGTTAGCACATTATTAGTCGCGTGTAACGACCAAGTATCAAGATGTCTTTTTTAAACCTGGCTCATTTAAAATTTTTACTCTACACTTTTTCAAAAACAACCTAAAAATACAACCTGATATAGTCTTAAATTGAGATGAATTATAAGTGTTTTCCACAGTTCTATATAATAGACGAACTTAGATAAAGCAAGTTAGCAAACATATTCCTATAATAATTTAGTTTTTATTTAAACAAAATTGGTCGAATGGTCTAGAATCTAGATAAAACTTGATAATAACCGGCCGAAAAAAAGTTCAGTAGTTGCAATAAAGTAATACATATTTACTATTGTTGGTAAAACACAACAATCACAAATAGTGTAATACTAAAAAAAGAATATTACTTATTAGATAATCGTGTAAACTTATGTTTGCATTTTCCTGTTCGGTACTAAATAAATACAATACAAATAATAATAATAAAATATTATTAACGTACATACAACTTGGTAGACCAATGAAATTATTCAACAGCAGCCCTTTACGAAAATTCTGTCGTCTTAGTTAAACATAATATTTTTGTTTATTTGAAAAGTCACAGTAAACACAAAATAAAAATGCATTTCTAATGAAATCACTGAACTTTAAAAAAGAAATTGTTTGAGTTGACAAAAAACTAATGATTATAGTTTATTTGTTGTCAATGTGATTCTCAATCTTCAGCTTATTAATCGTACACGACGAACAAAATATATTGTTATAGCTAAGGCCGTTACATTTTAATTATGTTTAGCCAATAAAATTTTGTCTATAAGTCGAAGCCAACTTGGTGGTACAAGAAACCAATTTAGACCTAAATCTCGGGATTATTCTATTAAATAACTAAATATTTGCTTTTATTATATTATTTGTTTTCGGGAAGTAAACATTTTTATATTTATTGCTAGTTTTCTGTTTTATTTCTAATACTAATGGTTGTTTATTTTTATTATTTTTAAACATTCAATAATAACATGATAATAAAAAATGAAAACCAAATTCGTTAGTACCATTATAGTCTATTACCTCTGAAAGTACTTGAATACATATATTTTTATGTATAAAAACTAGTAATATGTCATGAAACTTTAGTTGTATTATATTGAACACTAGTTAACTAGTCAACTAGTCAACTAGTTGTATTATATTGAACACTTAAATGATATAATATATTGTAATAACACGTTAGTACAGTCTTGATTGAATTAATGGGTTTGAATATAGTAACTATTATTTTGTATAATAATATAACGTATATTAGGGTGTTATTATGTATTAATATTGTTATTTTGAAATGAGTTTTAGAAGGTATTATAGTTACAATGATGTGTTTTTATTTTTGTGTCTAGACTCACGTTATCTCCAAAAGGTCGTATCAGCGATTTAATAATTATATAACACCTGTAGTATTGTGTAAGGTTTCTATTGATCACACCTAATAATAAAGAATAATACGTTTTTTAAGGAAAACAATATGTAAGCTATTAGCGAGAAATTAAGAACTAATTAATTGATAAACACTAATTTAATTTTAGATGAAATTTTCTTTAAGTAACAAAATAGTGAAGTCATATTATAATAAAGTCGTCAGCTGTGATGAAAAGGATATTGTAATATCATGGAATTTTATTTATATCTAATAATGGGACAGTATAGTTTGACCCCGTGTTATATTGAACACTTTTGAAGTACTAAATAATAATTAATAATTATAAAACGTCAAATAACTGAGTCACAAGTGGATTAATGAGTTTTAATAACATACTAATAATTATTTAGTATAATGTAATAATATAACATGTATTTCAATATTTTAATGATTATAACACGGAAAGGATGTCAAACGCTAGTTTTTCGGTGTATACAAAACCTAAATCTAAATAGAGATTCTTGATCACTTTTTCAACGAGCTCTTTAATTTGAATTCCAAATTTATATATGACATTCTTTGTTCCATAAAACGGAAACTCAGTTTGATAAATATCTACTAATATTTTAATGTCCTGCTTTTGCTCAACCGGTAGCGTGCAATAAGTGTTTGCGAACGGTCTCAGCAAATGTTGATTTTTAGCATTAATAGTCCTCATTAATTTCACGATAAATGTGTTACCTTTTGACTTGTACTCAACATCAAGCTCGCCGATATAAGTCGGGAAACTGAGTACCAAATTGTTCGCTATATCTTTGAACCACTTGACTAACGGAACTATTTTTCGTTGTACGTGTTCTATGCTATTATATAACACATATACTTCGGGCGGAATTAATCTGCACAAATAACTTAATGCGTGGTGCATACACTCAAACATCTGCCGACTATTCAATAACAGTTGATGGGTAAAATTGAAAATTCGCCACGCGAGTTCATAGTCATAGTCATAGTCACAGTCTTCGTCCTCGTCATCCGATTTATGCGCCTTGTCTCCAGAATTGTCACTATTTTTGTCAAGCGATGGACGGCCACGTTGTACTTCGGTTCTCGGTCGCTTGCGCGACATTTTTTCACCATCCACTTTTTCCTGATGGATAGTATTCTTTAATCTAGACCGCCGTGTTTTCATGTATACCCTTCTTTTGGATAGATATTTTTCATTTATATGTACAGATAAAATGTTTTTAATCAACGTTGTAAATTTATCCGTCACGTTGGCGTATACACACGCTAACAGATTAGTCACCATGTAGTGTTTTTTATACACGTCTTCGACACTAACATGATGAGAATTACCAATGTTTTTTAAACCTCTGTAAACGAATAAATCTTTGCCCGAAAACGAAACAAACTCGTCTAGGAAATCTGGAGGTTTGGCTTTCTCGTTGATAATCTGTGCCCATTGCGAATGGCCCAATAGTGCGTTTAGTACGTCACACAAATTTTTTTTGACCGCGTGTAAAGCAAACGTCCGTTCACTGTTGTAGTGATATATTATGAAAAGAGACAAAAACCGGATTAACAATTTGCCGGACATTGTCTATTTACGCAAAAACTTTATAGGTGCTTAAGTTTAAAATGTATATATATATATATATATATCAATGTAATGTTTTATACTGCGAACGGCAATTTGAGTTTTTCACTTGTATGCTGTACAATAATACTATAGTAAATATGTAAAACAAAAAACCAATTTTACCGATTACTACTGATAGTTACTTGCATAAGTAGACAACTGTGTTGTCATACGTACATAGCAACATCATTTCGTTGTGTATTGTTGAAAAAACATTTTTTTATAAAAAAAAAAATAACAACTATACAAAATAAGTTTATAACATAGTCTTGTTTTTTTTTAATAATGACGTGCCCTTATTTTTGTTTTTTTCCGGACCCATGTAATCTCCTTTGAATCGATGTATTGTTCTAGTTGGCTTTGAACATTTTTGCGGAACTTTTGTACATTACTTTACATCTCGGGATTATTCTATTAAATAAATAAATATTTGCTTTTATTATATTATTTATTTTCCGGAAGTAAAAAAGTTTATATTTATTGTTAGTTTTCTGTTTCATTTCTAATACTAATGGATGTTTATTTTTATTATTTTTAAACATTCAACAATAACATGATAATAAAAATGAAAACCAAATTCGTTTGTACCATTATGGTCTATTACCTCTGAAAGTGCTTGAATATATATATTTTTATATATAAAAATATGTTATATACAAGTGTTAAGCTAGTTTTATAAACAGATAAATAACTTTAACCTTGACTAAAAATAGTTATTTTAAGCTTGTTGTTTGCCAACAAATTAATTTTATAATTTGGGAATATCTGTTTGGTTTCCGTAGTAACCGGTTCTGATTCTTTATTACGATCTCACAGTTTTATTTAACTAGTTACAAATTACAATTAAACAACGTTATTATAACAACGTTTGGTGTGCAGTATTTTAGTTTTTCAGGAAATTACTAAATATGTTTTTGTCATTATTTTTTTAAATTTAGATTAAAAAATATGAACTAGAAATGTAACTTTTGATTTAACCGTATAAGTATGATAATAGAACACATGAAAAAAATGTTTCTTGTGCAATACGGTGAAAAGGCCACACTAATTAAATAATTTCCCTTAAGTACACTTTAGTCGAACTAGTCAGCATCAGTTCCATTTACACAATCATGTACGGTATATTGTCAATGATAATGATCAAATATACCTAACCTAACCAATTTATTATTACTTTCCAAAAAACATGGTAACATTAAATTGCAGTCGCTCAGTTCTGAAAAACTCAGGAATAACTTTTTTTCTGTTCTTGGTAAACATATCGAAATTGAGAATTTAAGAATTCAAATTACATTTTTCGGGTAAACCATTCTCTTTAAAAAATAAGTGATACAACAATTTATTATTTATTATTATTAAAATAATTTTTTTTTAAATCGAATTACAAGGAGTATATACTATCTAGTATGATACTTTGCATTCCAGTATTGAAGTTGCCTACCTATTACGCCTTACATTCGAACTATTATTATTTAATACTTTTTTTTTAAGACCAAGCTGACTAAAACATAATTAAATAGTAAAACAGAACAATAAGCCTTGTTCAGCAATTAAATTGTAGTTTTCAATACTTCTAAAATTAAAATATCAGAAGT